ATACTCGCTGGTTTATCCTGTGAAGCTAAATAGACAGTTTCATGACTTTTGGTGTCGTAAGGAAATAAATCTGAATGACTACNATCTGGTCCTTTGCAGTTTTTCATTTCGGTTGGAGATATTAGATCTCATTTGTATAGGCACTCCTTGAGATCTTGGCAAAGGGAGTTTAGCTCCACAAGTAATGCCAAGGTTTACAAATCAATTCAAACCTATATTCCTTCCTTCTCGTGGTTCCGTTCTATGAATTATCCCCGACAATCCCTTACTTCCATAATCCGTCTCCGACTAAACCACAATAGTCTACCTGTCCACCTTTATAAAATCAAAATCCTTAATTCCCCTTACTGCTCCTGCAACAACTTAGTAGTGGCCAATGCCAACCACGTCCTTCTTGAGTGCCCTCTTACCGCCTCAGGCAGAGAAGCATTTTACAGATCGCTGATTATGGCCGGCATACCTCTTCCCATCACAGTGTCCAATTTCCTATGTTACTCCCACAGATCTGATATAATTGAACCCTCAATTAAATACATTTACCGCAATAAAATCATAATATAACAGACATAAAAATAAGAGAACGCTTTTTCTTAAATAAAATTATCCATAATTACAATCATTGGCTAATATGATTAACGTAAGGCCATAAGTTAGCTTTCCTTAAAGGAAAGTTATATATAAAAAAAAAAAAGTCTTAAATGATCAGCAACGTCTAATCTATAGGTACATCGCAAATTCCAAGAAGATTTCCCAGATTAATGAAAGTAGCTGAATCGTTTTTGTTCATTTTGGTCTATCAACGAAAATATGTAACACTTCATTATTTGGATGTCATTAGCAGATTTAAACGACCAAAAATAACCTAAACTGGAGGTCCAACACACTACAGACCTCAAGAAGATACCATCCAGAAATAATGGTTCATCGTATCCGATGATTTCGGTCTTTCAATTCCCGCTGTTTTGTCCCGTCAAACTAACTTTTCACGATTTTTTAATGCCTTAAGCAAATCTAAATAACCAAAAATGACTAAACTACAAGTTGAACGATCAAAAGACCTCAAGAAGTAATAGAAACTTGATCGTTTCCGATTATTTTTATCTGCCTATCCTCCATGGATTTTAATTAGTCAAAATATGTGTTAAGTTCACGATTTTGGATAACTTAGACAGACTTCAACACCTACAGTCTTCAAGAAAATACTGCCAACATAATTTCCATCCATTCCCACTGCTTTGTCCTGTGCACTATACTGAACGTTTCATAATTTTTGGTTTCTTAGGTAGCCCTACATCAAACGTAAATGACCAATGATATTTCGGCAAGCCTTCAAATATAGTCATAATTAACGTGTACGAACCAATAAAATATATTGATCCAACTCGGATCAATTCAGATCAGCTCGTTCCCATCACTCCCTAGATCCCCTTCACACGAATTCCAAAAATATTCATTATGATAAATTGTGAAATCCGCGTTTGAACAAAGTTTGAACAGATCATAGTCATAAGACATAAAGAAAGCCAGCAGCTTCCAGCTAGAAAATCAGGTATTGTTTGTAAAGATGGCAGAAATTTCAGCCGAAATCAAGCACAGCAGTCGTCCTAAGGTAATAAACAAAACCCAGTGGTTTAAATGCACATAATTTATTCATGTTTATCGACCCTAAAGGCACACGGTTTATTCCGAATTCGTTGAATAGTCGATAGTTTCGATCTGAAAAGTTTAATAGAATCTAAGCTAATTTCATTACTAAAATTTTATTTAGGCTGATAAAACCCAGGGCAATAAGTTATTTTCTGTTTTATCTGAACGGAATCTAAATGCCGATAAAATTATATATTACCGGTGGATTGAGCGGGTCGATGGTTACTGACCGGAAGACAGACTAGTGAGCTTTAGAATTTTTTAATTATTTATTTATTGCAATAAACTCATCGTACTTTAATTAAAATGAAAGACCCAAATGTACTGTAATACAGAATAATATTTCATTAGTTATTTGGATAACATGCAAGAATATATTACTGATGTCCATTTGAATGTCCATTTCCGGGTTTCGTGACCGCAGCTTTGCCACGATTCGAAATGTTTTTCGATAGCAACGGGACGAGGGTAAACGGTTTACGCCATTGTCCGGTAATAACAGTCAAGTAATTTTATTGCTTCGCGAATAAATCAACATTTTGGACACTGTTTACGTTAAAATGTTGAGTAGTATGAGAGAACATTGATTTCATCCACCACGACGACTGATTTCCAATCGATACACTTAATTCTGTTACAGGCGAAAGATAATGGTGAATATTTTAAACAGGATTTCACCCACGATAAACCAGTAAAAGTTTTACATTTTGTAGTATATTCCTGATATCTGTAGAGTGTTGGGCTTGTCATTTCTGGTCACCCATTACACCCAAAATCGTGAAAAAACTTTCCATGTTTTTCACATGCCAAATCAGCGACGTTTACCATCAACCTACTTCCATCAATAACGTTTCTTGACGTTTGGGGAACGATAAACCTGTACCCAGGTTATTTCTGTTCACTGAGCCTAAAACACCTAAAATCTTCAAGGAACAAACATTTGGGAATGGGAAACGATCTAATTTCTATTATTGCGAGGTATCGTTTTGAAGTCTGTAGGATGTTGGACCTGTAGGTTGGTTAGTTATGATCATTTAAGTTTTCTAAGGAGGGTAAAGTAGACCGCTTCCTCGTAGTGCCCCTTAGTAAGCTTTAGCAGATTTAAGGGTACTTGGTAAGCATGTCATGTAAGCTAGTTCGGCTAATCGGTATGACGTGGCATAACACGAGCTACCAAGTCAAAGTGCAAAATACACTGTCGGAGGATTTTAGAGTGGGTGCGGGCCTGCGGCAGGAGACCTTCTATCATGGGTCATCTTCGATCTATGTTTGGAAAGAGCGGTGCGGGCTATTAGAACAAACCCAGGCGGCACTATTTATAATAGATTAACGCAACACAAGGCATGGACGACATATTAATTATAGCAAGAATAAAGGCGGTACTGGGAGGAGCACTGCAAGAAGCCAGCAACAACGCGGTCTGGAAATTAACGAGGGCAAAACTAAGTATATAAGAACCTCGAGAACCCGTGGATGTGGACAAGGACCAATTCAATTTGGAAATCATAGTTTCCTAGTAGACAGTAATTTTAAATATCTAGGGTCTTTAGTAACAAAGAATAATGATGTATGGGCAGAAATAAAGGCGAGAATAGCGGCAGGGAATAGATGCCTGTTTGCGGTACAAAAGGCTCTGCGGTTCAAGGACCTCGCAAGGCTAAGATTGTTACAAAGCGACTCTAAGCCCAATAGGCTAGCGAAACGGGTGTTGAGTAAAGAAAGTGAAAAGATTCTTGGGGTATGGGAAAGAAAAGTGCTAAGAAAAATATTCGGCCCGAAGTGTGTAAATGGCGAATGGAAAATACGCAAGAATATGTGGTGTTTGGTGACCGTTAGCCAATGATTATTTGGAGATCGTGAGGTGCGGTCTGGTGTGACGTAGGTTTAAGAAAAACGTTATCTTTATCATGCCAACGTTTCGGTCTTTATTGAGATCATCTTCAGGGCTCAAAGTGTTTGGGCACTCTCAACTTGAAACATAAGAATGACACATCTACATGGGAAACAAACACTTTGAGCCATGAAGTTGATCTCAATAAAGATCGAAACGTTAACATGATAAAGAAAATGTTTTTCTAAAACCTACGTAATTCCAGACCGCACCTTACGATTTTCAAATAATCGTACGCAAGAATGATCAATTAAAGCAATTATTTGGCGAGCCGGATGTAGTAGCCCAAATAAATAAGGGAAGATTGAGACCTCAAGATAGGCTTCCAAGGAAATTCCTCTATGGGAAGCCAGGAGACTCAAGAATACGAGGACGCTCTCGGTTTAGGTGGTTGGACGATGTGGAGTTGGATCTACGGCGGACGGGTGTAAGAAGATGGCGCCCCAAGGTCGAAGACCGAAACGAATGGGGAGAACTTATAGAGAAAGTCCAGGTCCTGCTCTAAGGCCTGTCACACCGATTAGTAACTAAGTTTTCTAAAATTCACAAAGGACAAAATAGCTAGGATAGGCAGACCAAATCGACGAAAACGATCGAGCTACTTTCATTACTGTAGATAGCCATCTTGAAATATGCGGGGTAATGAACCTGTAGGTTAGTTATTTACTGATCATCCAGGGCTGCCTATGAATTCCAAATTATGAAATGTTACATATTTTTTGTAAGACAAAAAAGCGAGTGTATGCTCACCGAAATTTCAGAAATGATCAAAACTGTATTACTGTGAGCTGTATGTTTGAGGACTGAGGGAATTGGTCATGTAGCTTGGTCGTTTTTCAGCATTTCAGGTCTACCTAAAATTGTGAACTAGCCCATAAATTTACATAGAACAAAACGAGGATAGGCAGACCAGAATCATCGAAGACTATCGAGTGTCTTCCTGTATTGTGGGACAAGTAGGGATAAGTGAAGTTAGGAACTTTCTGATCAGTTAGATGGGGTCAAAGGCACCCCAAAATCGGGACGCGTTCAGTATATTTTGACAGATCAAAACAAAGTAGATAGGCAGGCCAAAATCAGCGGAAACTACAAAACTTCTAATATGGTAAGATATATTCTTGCGGTTGATGGTTCTTCCCTAACCATCCCTGTAGCTTAACCCTTTTCTGATCATCCTAGTTCTCTTCGATGTTTTCAGTGAGTCATGCGTTTTTTCCCAAACGATTCGACAACATACATTGTTTCAACCTGATTTATGGCAAAATTATTCTGAATGGGGATGAAACTCGGCAGTCTGCACATTTTAGTAGTTTTTTTTTTCTCTTTTCCAACAAGTTGAGTTAATGAAAGCTTTTATTTATGCCCAATTTTCGTAAAGCTAGGGCAACTACAAGTTTTATCAATCATTATCTAAAAACCCACAGTTGGCGTTAGGGGTTTATTCGTTTGTATTTATTTCGTTTTATTTCCCCATGTGTATAAATTACACAGTACGTCAACGTCCATATGTTTTATAAACGTATGAATAAAAAATTTAATCAAAAAGGGCCAGACTAAAATAGCATCGTCGGGTTAAACTTCCGGTGAATGGACAATAAATCCCATTTGTAATAATAATAATAATAATAATCCCATTGGGGTAATAATATAAGTTCGTGACATTTTCATCATTCATTTCGTTCAGTTATTAAAAATTAAACGGAACATTTCGTGCCGCGAGATGTTCTTCAAATAGGGTTTTTTCGCTAATTATTTTTTAAAGCGTTGAACAATTATTAACCTATCGATCTGTGGTTTCCTATAAATCCTCTGATGAATCAAGTCGGTTACGGAAAAAAATAAATCCGCGCATATCCGCTGGATTAGGGCGATCCACTAACGTATTGATCTGTTTAGACCAATTCTCTGATAAGACGGCCCCCAGGGAAATTTTAAAGCTTTTCCCATCGAGAAATTCTTAGAACCTTTATTATTTATTCGATCCGTAAATAACTGAACATAGGATGACATTCAACCTTATTGACTATCTTGTGGTGCACAAATATTGATGTGATGAAAACGGAACAATCCCATTTTACGTTTATGGCGGTGCTGCGTCTGCTGAAGATGTGAAAGCCAAAATTAAAAACGTTCGGTTTCAAACTCCAGGAGACTGGTACGGCAATCGGTCCTGCTGGACGTCTTTGTAAAAATCGTTTTCCTAGTGAGGTTACAGAAAAAGAATTGGCAGATTTTTAGAGAAAGAGCACAAGGATCGTACCTGAATCACTACGTATTCTTAGGGGTAGATTGAGAAAGGTAGTCTCTCTCAAGATGAAAGTACCCAGCCTAAAAATAATCGACAAAATGTATCTACAACCGTTTCGAACGAAAGCTGAATCCTGCCGATCCTGTATGTGACTGCAATGGTTTCCCAAATAAGATAAAGGCAAATAAGAAAACCGTACCACACTGGTAAATCTGAAACTCCTCTCCTTCTTGCGGATCTGCATCTGCATAGACCCTCAAAAAATATAAAAGGTAATCTGCGGTCTCCCCTTCTTCATGGCAGTGCTTCTTCGGTCTGTACTCCTATCCTACCAAGAATAGACGGATATTGAAAAAGGTTCTGCCATTGCAAAAGCAAAAACCTCTGGTAAAGCTGAAACTTTGCGTCTCTACCAAGAAAATACAGTTATCGTAAAAAGTTCTATGATTGCATGTAAACTCCCGGTAAAGCTGAAATTTTGCGTCTCTGTCAAGAAAAGGCAGATGTAAGAGGTTCTGTAAAGCTAAAACTTTGCGTTTCCACCAATAAAAAGGAATCATCCAAACAGGTTCTGTCACTGCAAAGCTAGAAAACGCTCGTAAAACTGAAACTGCATCTCAGTCAAGAAAAAGCAGATGTAGGAAAAGATACTGAGATTGCAGAGCTAGAAGCCCCTAGTAGAACTGAAACTGCGTTTCTACCAAGAAAACGCATAGTTATCGGTAAAGCTATAAAACAAGGCATCGGATCTGTGACCACAAAGCTATAAAGCACTCGTGAATGTACACTTGCTTTGTTAGCAGCAGCCTCGCCAGGGCTCATTTACGCTCCTCCATGAATACTCGGAAAACTTTCTGTGACTGCATAAATTGAAAATACTGGTGCTGTGAACTGACACGAACTACTAGAACAGACACACTCAGAACCGTCCCCTGTGTGCCTAGTGATAAACCTAAATCGCAAAACGGCCTAAAAAAGCCTCGCGTTGAATAATTAATGTCATCTATCTTCGTCTTGACGGATGCATCGATTTTGTTCGTCCAACCGCCGGGAAAGAGTTTTTAAATAATTTAGGACGGCCGGAACAATAATAGAACCGGCTGTTATCGACCGCCTTCAAAGAATTACACGATGTCGATGAGGTGGCTTTTTTACAAGAATACTTTAATTAATGAATTTTTAAAATGTTTAAATTATGAGATTTTCCCGCATTAATCCGATGAAAGTATGTATTAGCGTCTATCAGCCGAAGTAGTCTGTCGAATTCCTAGTTTTAGCACCAATATGACGAATTTTGTAACCAATCTACCAAAATTTCTAGCATCACGTTAATGTCTCACAAATCTCTACTATCAATCAGCCAAAATTTTACCATCAGCCACCCGAATTTGTGTATCAATCTGATACTTATAGCTCACTCTGCTAAAGTTTTGGCAACAGTTTGGCGAATTTCTAGTCTCTATCAGCCAAAATTTTAGCATCAGCTTCCTTAATTTTTGTACCAATCTGCTACTTATAGCTCACTCTGCTAATGATTTAGCACCAGTTTGGCTAATTCCTAGTATCAACATGCCATATTTATAATTTATTTATCAATCAGTCCAAATTTTAGCATCAGCTGTCGAATTTTTTGGTCAACAGTTAAATTGTTAACACCACACTGTTAAAGTTGTAACACATATCTGCCCAATGTATAATTTATAGTATCAAACTGCCAAAAATGTATCATCAGCAGGTGAATGTTTAGCGTCAACCTGTCTTATTTTATAACAACAATAAACTGTACATATTTTAGCTAGATTGATTAGATATGGCATAATCCAGACAGATGGAGTCAACTCGCATTTGTTGGGAGTGCACTGTCTTTAAATATTTTTGAACATATTTATTCTTCTTCTTGTAGTGGATGATATTTTAAAATATCCACAATAGAAAATTATTTTTTTTAAAATGTGTTTCAAAATATTATGTTATTGTATTATCTTGCATGCATCCAATTCTTTCCTATCCATCTATCCACTAACAATTGTTATTTATGTAATATTTACTTGCATAAACACTGTGATCATTATTGCTTTTATATTGATCTTTCAGAAATGTACAACATACTAGTTATTTCTGCTTTATTTATTTTTAAAATCATGTAAGTGCCTGTTTTCTTTGTCACAAGGTAATGTTAAAATGTGCCTGTATATCTTTGCATGAAATTTATGCAGTCATGAAGCAAATGAAGGAACTTAATTTTTTTTTTTGTGTACATTTTCGCAGAAGAAATGGTGTCTCTCATGGAACTTGTGTCACCTACCGTCGTATTCACAGAGGGCGGCAAGACTTTGCGCAAAGTTGAAAACGCGCTCATGCTCATATCAGCTGCACCGCTGCTTGTTGTCTCATCAGGGAGAAGACACAGCTACCTGACATTCCAGGTACGTTGTTACAAAATAGCTGGGAATAAAGGTTGTTACAAAACTAAAATATTAATTTCAGGCCCTCCTACAACCGACTGACCCGGAGTTTAGACCGTCTATATCCAACCCAGAGGACCACGTTGCCTTTGTACTATTCACTTCTGGCACCTCGGGCCTCCCAAAGGGCGTCATGCTGACAGATGTGTACCTCCTTCAGAACATGCCTCATTTGTACGTATCCTATGTTTGTTTGGAACATAAGCTCTCTTATATCACAATGAACATAAATTCAGACACTTCCATCAATATAATAATTGACCGGTTAGACCTACGAACTCCTATGATCTTTAAACTAATCATCAAATCATTTGAAAAGCCTGCATTTAATGAATGTTCGTTCCAAGAAAGCTTGTGCTGTTGAAGGTATTTATTGACTGACAATAGCTGGTTTTGTATTAAAAAAGTAAAAACTTACAGTTCGAGGAAAATTGACATGCAGCCGACTGCTTTGCTGACATCGCCCGTCTTTTGGCTGAGCGGGGCTATGATACTTCTGGGGTCTTTGATCGGAGGACTTAAGCTTGTCTTTCTACGAGGCCCTTCAAAGGAAGCGGTACTCCTCAGCTCTATACAGAACTACAAGGCCAACATATGGTTCTCCCCGCCAACGACGCTCAATGCACTGCTGAACTTCCCGGGAAAAGACGCGTATGACTTAAGCAGCTTAGTCGTTCTAAGTGTTGGCGGAGCGATCCTCAGTGCAGACAGTGCTCTTCGCATTCAAAAGGAGTTGTTCAGGAATAAGATCTCCATCCTACAAGGATATGGTAATTAGCTATTTCAATTTTCCTTTTGTGACTATGAACTTATTTTTGAAAAATTATAATTAATTAAGGTTTTTAGTTGAGATAAAAAAGTCAATGGCACGAGCGGGATTTGAACCCACGATCTTCGGCTTGATACGCCGCTGCTCTACCACTTGAGCTATCGTGACCTCGATCCACTCAGACACAACTTCCCATCTCAACCGCACCTTTTGAATTTTGAGATGGGAAATTGGTGTCCGAATGGATCGAGGTCACGATAGCTCAAGTGGTAGAGCAGCAGCGTATCAAGCCAAAGATCGTGGATTCGAATCCCACTCGTGCCATTGACTTTTTATCTCAACTAAAAGCCTTGATTAATTATAATATATTAGTTGGTCAAGCGGACCATGAAATTAGTTAATTTAATTTTTGAAAAATCTTTATAAAGTCAATTGTTCCTAAAAAATATATTAGTTAATGAGATTTGATTATAATACAGTGGGGGTAAAAATGATGTACACATTGTGGTGGCCATTGCACCCACACTTCAAGCCTAGTATGACAAAAATAGGGATCCATGATTAGATAATTTAAAGCTACAGAAAAGTGCGGTTGACTTGCAAGTCATACAGTCTGGAAAAGATCTAAGGAGAACATAAAAGGGTCATATTCAAAATAGTCAATGAATGCATCCAAAATCTTCAAAATGTGGGTAAACATAACGACCTAACAATATCCAGGGCATAAAGGAATTCCCAGGAGTGAACAAGTAGACCACCCAGCTGGAAGGGGATAAGCAAAACGTAGATTCCTTCATCACAAATACCAAAATGACAAGTGGACAGGCTCCAAGGGTACGAGATACAGTAATTAAAGAACCCCCACCCAAAACTAGCAAAGCACAGTCAAACAGTGCAAAACTGAAGGGAAGATAGAATTAGACACCAGCCACTGGTAACTAAGAAAACAGCATGAGTATATTGAATGATGACACCATTTTTAGATGGTTAAGGAGAAACTGCCACCCATTCATCTTTGAATCTCTCAATGGAAACATGACCTAGGTACCAAGAAGACCCAAGAAAAAGAATTGCAACAATGTCAGTGAAAGATCTAATACTTCTTAAAAGAAGAATCGAATCAATTAACTACCGACTACCTCACTAATGAACTAGTAATACTGCAATGACCCAAGAGATGCAGTGCTTGCACCTCCTAGTGTCCTCACTACAAGTCATTGAAACATTGTGGTCATGTTTCTATATTGCAGAGCATACCATGGGGTTGGGAATTTACTTCCAGAATCATGCTTATGTTTATGTTAGGCTTTTTTTAATAATCCCTCCTCCTTCCCTGTCATACCTAAGGGAGACCCTATACTGGCTGACCTGCTATTCTCTAAACTTAGTTCAAAAGGGCACATGGGATTTGTTGTTTTGGGGCTAAACTTCCCTCCAATTTCCTAGCTGATTGCTGAGGAATTAGGAGTGAAAATGAACTTAAAAATGAGCTTTGAATTTTAATAAACTAAATGGGTACTCCCCTGTTGTTTCTCTCTCACAACAGCAGAGGTGGTTTTGTCAAGAATTAAATTAATTAATTAAATAGGAGCTAAACTATTTAACATAATAGGTATATTATGTTCATATATTGCATACTCAAAATTTTATTTCTGACAAATTTTAAGTAAATATTAAACTAAATGGGAGAAATAACCCAATTTCCCTATTGTATTAGCAATCTAAATACTTATCAGTTTTCCTTCCTTTCTCCTTTCTTTCTTCTTTTTCCTTTATTCTTTTGTTTTATCTTTTTATTAACAAAATTCAAGATCGGTTAGAACAGCAGAATTGTAAAAAAAACCTGTGTACTTTGTTTGATCTAAAAGTAAAAAAAAAAAATACCACATCAACCAGTAGTTTTTATTACACTATAATAACTGTTTTAAAAACTAATTAACAATAAATGTTCAGTTATTTTTAAAATCATTCCTTCAGCATAGTTTAAAAATTAATACAGTGCAAATATTTTTTTAAATGCCGCACTGTAACTTTATTGGTGTTATTGTCAAACGTTTGTTTCAAAGGTTAAATCAAAACTTTTTTTAAAGATCATTTAATCTTTATTTTGTAGGAATGACTGAAATGGGAGTCATTGCGACTGGCCTCCCGGGGCTTAATAAGCCTGGATCATGCGGAGTGCTCAAACCAGGAATTAAATGCAGGGTCAGCGTGCTTGTTTTATTTATTTACTTTTTATTTATTTAATGATTACTAATGTTTCTCCATTAAGACTTGCTTTAAATCAATACAATGTTCTTGTAAAACAAGATTAAACTGAAACAGATTGAGGATTTGGAAACCGGTGATTCACTCGGGCCAGGGCAGGAAGGCGAGATCTGCCTTAAATCACCGTTCATGATGAAAGGGTACATCAACAATCCCGAAGCTACAGCAGCCACTTTTGACGATAATGGATGGTTTCATACAGGAGACATCGGCTACTATGACGAGGACGGGTTTTTATTTGTTATTGACAGGCTGAAGGACCTGTTCTTTTACAAATCTTATCAGGTTCTTTTTACTTCTTTCTTTTAAATTGTCTTAATTGAAAGTTTATCAATATTTTTATTTCAAAGAAATTATCTTAAAGCAAATGTAATAAAAAATGGGTCTCATTGCTTGTTTCGGGTGGTAGTCTGACAGGAGGTCAGGACTAAAGCATGGGTGAGGTAGAACATTCCATTCATTTTGGAAAAATTTTGCTTTGTATAAATATAGGTGGGTATAGTCTTGATTCAAAAAATAACATTCTTCCTTTTCATCAAAGTCCCAGAATCTTGTATCTTGTTTTCTCTAAAATATTTTCATAAATTAAAAATTACAACTACATAAACTCGTTAGATTGCTCCAGCTGAGATAGAAAACGTCCTGCGAACACATCCTGCTGTCAAAGATGTAGCTGTATTCGGCATACCACACCCGATCGATGGTGATCATGCGACTGCCTTCGTCGTAGCAAACAAGGCCATCTCGGAAACCCAGCTGCTCGAGTTTGTAGCAGGTAATGGAAAAAGGTTTTTTTCTGTCTTTTTAATTTAACGGTATTGAAAACAAATATTCTCCCAGAGAGGGTATCAGAGAAGAAACAAATCCGTGGAGGGATCAGGTTCGTCGAATTCATCCCAAAAACGTCGACGGGAAAGCCGAAAAGGAAGGCACTCAGGGCACAACTTTTAGCAGAGTTGCAGGGGACGAATTTTGTGTAAGAACAGCAACTCTTTAAATAATTCAAATATATAATTAAACAAAATGAAATCACTAACAAATTAGAAACTAACAGTTTGAAATAAAGTCGATTAACAACATTTTACTTTCAAGTTTGATCACCAAAATCAGCAATGACCTCTAATTCTTCTGGTAAAAAAAAATCCTCTGGTTTTAACTCTTAATTAGTTGTTTAATTATAGACAGGGTAGATAAGTTTAAATTAAAATCAGTGCGAAAATTAATATCTGCCAGATATTTGTCTGTCTATTCTTACTGTATGCTTGTTCACATGTTTTACTTAAGACACTGAAGATGTCTGAGGTCCATCTGATTGACATACAGTGAGAATGGTCAGATTATTCAACCAAAATCGGGAAAAAAGAAACTTCTTAATAATAGTAAGGCTTAAAACACTTCAACCGTTGGTAGGATTATCTGGGAGAGTTTTTGTGAAACTTCTTGAAGCTTTTTTTGGCTACTTCAAGAACATATTGGATGTTGAAGTCATTTTGAATGGTAAGATTGGATACATAGAAAGGAGCACTGACAATGATTCGAAGGATTTTGAATTTTAAGGGTTGAATAAATTAGAGGTTGGAACCCCAATGTTCGAATAATGAGTTGTTTTGAAAGATGTCCTCATTTTTGTATATTTGTTGTCATTTTTCAAGCTTGAACTACTGCTCAAGGGATGTGACATGGGTATGGAGGTCTCCGGTTGACTCCTTAAAAGAGCAAAGTATTGCAGTATCATCTGTATAGATGGTAAGAATAGTGTAAAAAAGGTAATGTCTGTGGTGTATAGTGTGTAGAAGATTGGTCCTAAGAAACTTCCTTAGGGTACCCCTTCTTCTGTGTAATAGCTGGCTGATAGAGAGGAGCCATTGATGGCTTGAAAATATGTGTCGGTTAAGTAGGATTTTAGGATCAGGTGGTGCTATACCCGATTGAAGGATTGCTTCACATTTAGGAATACGCTGGAGCAGAACTTCGCTAAAGAGCAGTAGTGGTTAAGTTTACAATGACTAGTGAAATGGTAATGTCTGAACCCAAACTGGTCAGTAATGTACTTAAGCAGTTTTTCTAAGATTTTGTGCATTAACGTCAATAGCCTAATTGGATGGTAGGATGACAAAAAGTTTTGAGGTTTTAGTTTGGAATCCTCCTGATTAGAGAATTTATCAGTGGGATGGGAAGTATGTGGTTCTTAGGACAGAATTGTAAATTTAGGTAAAGAGAAATGCTTCTCTTTTTTGGTAGGCTTTAAAGTATTTATGATTAGGTTGAAACCAGTTTATTTTTTTACTTGTGACATGGGATACTTGTTTGTACTTGTTGAAGTAGAGATGTTAGGTCATGTTCTTGTAGTTGTAATGAAGATCATTGAGGACACAATGGTGAGTTGAAATGCTGGATAAACAGGAGGCAGTAAAGTAAGTTTGTTCTTCGTCAGACAGATTAAGAGCATCGTCAGGATCTTTATAAAAAGGAACAGATTTAAAGAATAGGTTAGTGCTTTAACAAGCATGTTTTGAGGTTTCCTCTTGGGGTCACCAAAGGGATGAACCTGTAGTTTGGTCGTTTTGATTTTGGTCTCACAGACTGAATATAACAGTAAGAATAGGCCAGACGAAAATGATCAGAAATTACCAAACTATAGATAGATATGTGTAAAGTTTATTTTTAAATTCTAAGTTGTTCAAATTTGTAGATCCTTAATTTATATTAATTACAATTAATCCCAGTCTATTATTAAACTTATCAACACTTGTTTATACCTAAAACAGAGCTCGCAATAAGAAATAAGTATAATTATTTAGTTGTTAGCTTTAGATTACAAATGCATTTGCTTTTCTAACATTCCACTTAAAAAATATTAACTAACAAACTCATTCAACAACTGACAATTTTCAAAAAAAAAAAAAAAAAGAAGCCAAATTGTTAAAACAAAATTTAATTTCTTGCTTTATACCTAAATTATTAATATTTATGGACTTCATCCAGTGTAAATTGCCAAAAATTTGACATTTTTTGTCTTATATCAAGCACTCTGCACACGACTTTATTCCAATTTACACAACATAATTTTTACATACACAGGAAACGACCTTGGATGTCGGTGACACGGGCAAAGAAGAAAGCACCAAACAAACTACAACTCCTCCGTAGTCAATCCACATCGTGTTCATAAGACACAAAACCCGAGTATCGCCAAATGATTTACATAATGACCTGTTGAACACACTTGGCTGACACAATAGCGAGAACAGCAAGCCATGGCATACAACACTTAAAACTAGACGGCGAAGGATGGTGGACTTTCTTCCTCGCCACAATAAAAAATATTTTAAAAGAAGGCGCATATACGAAGAGATATGTCCAACTTTTCCATTCGTACCGAAACATGAAGAATGAGATTTACATTGATTTAGGGCGAAATATTTACGGCAAAACTTAATATATTAAGTACTTAAATGTAAAAATTGTTTTATACGATACTTATTTTTGTTACAGAGATTCCAACAATCCTACAGTTTAGCTACACGGTGAATTATTTTTGTAGACACTTTAATGATGTTAATGTTCACTGAATTAGAAAATAAATAATTTATTTATATCACAAAATTTTGTGACTTATATGCACTGAGTCACTCAATCTGTCAGTAGTGACCATAAAATTAGAATTAAAATTTTTTTTAATGCTTTTAAGTGCCTTGGCCTAAGAGTACAATTCCATTTTTCTTTATCAAAAGACACTGATAATGGAGACAGTATATTTTCAACTAATTGTTTTACCCATTTTAAACAGTTTCAAATTACTATTTTTCAAAACCATCTTTGTTATGTAACAAAAGAACAATTAAGTTGACAAAAATTCAATTTGATTAGAAATATATTTTTTAATGGTCTATAATTCACTTTATATTAGAGAATAATTGTAGAGAGGATATTAAATATAAAATTTTATTGAAAATACTAATTCAAAGAATAAAAAACTAGTGTTAAACTGTTAATTACTTTGACCAACAAGATCAGATTGAAAATAATTCACAGATTAATTTCATAAAAGGCCAGGATTTTTGCTAGTTTCATTAACCATCAAACCTTTAAAACTTAATTTCCAAAACCAGAGAGAAAACTTAACTGCCTGCTTAATAACAAAAAAACAAGTTTTCCCTCAATGAAATTAATATAATAATAAATTTGGATAATTTTTTTTTTACATTAACTGTGGATGTTGCTTTTCCCCTACCAGATCCTGACCTAGTTTATTTTACTCTTTGAAATATAAAAATTTTGTTTCTATTTTTTTAAATCAATATTATCTATTAAGTTGCTTGATGACAAAACTGTTTGTTTTTGCTCAAATAATTAATAGTTACCATTAAAAAATTAGATAATAGTTTGTACCTAAGCAATAGATTTTAACCAATTTTGAGATTGTAATTAAGACAATAAAACAGTATTGCAAAACAAAGTTTTTTAATTACTTTTCCTGTCAAGCCGTCATGGTCTGTGAATGATTTGCTTAATACAAAATAGTAAATGAAACATTTCTGACAGGCGAGGAGATGTAGGTAACCAGGCCTTAAAAAGTAAATAAAAATAAGTAAAGTAATTCCTAAGATTACTTCCTGCGGTCTGCGGGGTTGTAAAACTGTAACATGGTTACTGCCGATCATTTTAGTATATTCTTGATGGGCGTGCCTATTAGAAGCTTTCCTTCATCTAAGAAGACTAAAGGACACTTCACAATAGTACTGACTCACTTAAGATGTCGAAACGCATCTGATAGACTTTACGAAATTTAATAACAAATTATTTGCATTAAAGATGCGAGCTCGACGTCATCTATTAAAACAATGCTAAAAATTCAAAGCGAAATATGTCCTAATAAATTCGATTAAGTCCATTAAAAGCAATAAAACTAGAAAAGATGTTAGAAATGTATGTTTGGGCAAAGCTTTGGATGAAAAAGGCCGATTAAAAAACATGATCAGGGTTATAAGGAGGGTGAGGCATTGACAATCTGATCTATCCAAGAAAATGAATTTAAGAAATTCCAGTACATGCTAACCAGGGATGTGGTATTTGTTACATAAAATGTAATATGTGCTGAAAAAGCGTCAGACAAACCAACCCAGTGACGATAGACCAGGATAATCATTAAGGATTAAATTAAAATATATTCTATCATACCGGAAGGCTTAAAGTTCAAATACCTATCGGCTGTCGTGAAAGATGGGTCAGAAACACTTAATACTTTTTATATATTATTACCGATTAAGAAATCCATCGATTCTGCTGGGATTCGAACCCAGAACCGTTAGCGTGGCAAATACGAGGCACTGTCCACTGTAAAAGGCTGTACCTTCCACTGTGCTGATAGACCGTTCTCATCCTGGGTATGCAGATGTCTGATACCTAAGAAAAAATTGAACTATTATTCAATAAAAACTGAGTAAAATGTTTGTTTATGTACGTACCACAAATGCGAAGAAAATGTTCTGGGGTTAGTATATGGGTTTAGCAAAACTTATGCTAAAGATTTTCTAACATTAACACTTAAATAAAAGCATAAATTTATCCACATCAGAGATTACCTAATAATTATTAAGATCAGGCGTGTTAATAAAATTGACATAAGAGAAAACTGTCACAGTATCAACGAAGGTAAAATTATTCAACCAAGGTTCTGAACGCATTTAATTCAATTTGAATACCACAAAAATAAATGACTTCTGTTATAATTGTAATATTTTTATTGTGAAGTTTCCTCTTGGAGTCTGCATGACAATGATTAGTTTGGTCGTTTCCAATCGTCCTAGTTTGTTCTGTAGAATTTCGGCATTCACTCTTCTTCGGCAAATTCAGAATAAATGGAAGTTCTCCCTGCTTATGTCTGGCTATCTGACAGACCAAAACAGTTGAAAAAGACTAATACCTATATCCTGTCAAGAAGTATTTAAGAGAAAATTTCAATAGTTATTACATTAGTCAATATAGAAAAGAAACTAATTAGGAAACTGGAAGAATTCAAACGAGACGTTGCAATTTTATTTCTTTTATGTTACAATGTCTTTCTAAATTTTAATAAAATATAACATCCTCTTAAAAAGGCTATTCATTTTTTTAATTTTTTTGAAAAACAAAATTTATATCCTATAAGTACCCGAATTTTCTAGTTAACACAGTGCACATAATGATGTGGTCAAAAACATTAAAAAATAAAATAAAAAATTAATAAACAAGGCATCTATAAATAAGAGTGAACATAGAAAACAAGAACAAATTTGAGAAATGCATCTGTGTGCCTGGAAAGTATGATTATTATCAATAATTGAGCAACCTAATCGTCCTGGTGTGCTTCAATAAGTAGACAACGTACGAAAGAAAAATTCTTAAATAAAGAGTAATCTAAATGCTTTCCTCTATTTTATTATCTGGGCCTCAAAAGACTACTGGTTTCATCGAATGGCCACAATTTCATCTTCGACCGATTGAAGCCGCTAGAGCTATTTTTAACCTGGAGGTATTCAGTTGTTGAACAGTTTGTAAAGCTTCCAAGTGCAGAACGCCGTCGATAACAGGGTCACAGAGCAGTGGAGGATTTTGCGCCTAGAGTCGTTCTTCCTGATGAGGACTATCGGCGATGCGGAAGAGAGCGCATTGAAAAGTGGCAGTTTCGCAAGACGCTTTGAATCAGGAAACACTTGGTATTTAACGCAAGGGTCAAACTGCCACGACACCGTGTAAAGACCGGTGCAGAAAAACGAAACGGCACCAAGCGGAGCATACGCCAATGGGTACTCCTCCCACATTAAACCTGGAATTTACAGCAACTTTAAATTTTTCACCACAAAAAAATGTGTAAACATTTCTCATTTATTTAACATTAACATATAACATAAAAGAGGTGGTGTTATCCATATAATTTACATAATAAAATTTGTAAAAACTAATCGAATTGTTCCTTCTTCTATTTGATGTCTAAAAATAATATTGTATGGCTTCAGAGAAAGTATTTTTTTTTAAAATAGCCAAGGTAAATTAGCCCAAATTCTAAGGCTATAAGTAGATTTGATCAATCCTGCATGCGATACACTCTTTTACATAGCATCAGCACCGACATAAGTGTTTAGATGGTTTATGTCTCAAACCTTCTTCTTTTCTGCTGAAGAAACCGCACCTACTGATTGCCATCTGAGGAAGAAGTAAAAAGACCCCAGCTTCCTCAGTAAAGATAATTTTAACGTTTTTGGTCAATTAACTGTTCTACGTGGATTCTTAAAATAGAAACAGATGAGACAGGAAGATGGAAGTCAAGTTGAATCAGAGATAATTGAGCCAAAACCTGTCGAGCCAAGCGGCTATTAATTATCAGTTCAAAAATTATAGTAAGTTGAGCAAATCGTCTAAGAGGACAGCTGTAGATAGAAGAATTGAAGATCATGGCTTTCACAGGTCATGGAATGCTAATAGTCCTAATTATCATGCTTTGTTCAATGAATTGTTGATTTGTATCTACCTCTGTACAGAAAACATTATCACTGGTACAGTTTTACAATCTTTATTATAACTCTTATATATAATACAGTTAACTGATACAATCCAAGTACACACAAAATGCCATTTGCCCCTTTTGGGAGGCTAAAACCAAAGACAAAATGCAGGACAATTATGGAAAACTGACAGTCGGTGGCGTGTAGGGTAGTTTACTGAATAACACAACCCCATTTCGTGAAATGAAAGTCATCTTATGAGAATGACTTGGTCTAGGAACGTTTTAATAAACCTAAATATAATGTCAAACTACTCTGGACTCAATTCTCTATGTTTCACCATGGTGAGAGTAACTTGACTGAGAAACATGAACATGGGTACCTTCTAGCTGACCAAAGATCACAATTTGACAATCAAATACAATATTTTACACAATTATGTCTGACAACAAAAAAAAAAAAAAAAGTGGCCACCCTCATCGTTGTTTTAGTAAATACAAATAATCCCTCTACATCCACGAAGGTTACGTTCCAGAAAAACTACGTGAATGTTGAGTCCATATTCCTGTGCAAATAATGGGGTTCTGTTCCATAATAGTGGATAGAGATACAAAAACACATGCAATTTATTCCTATGATTAATGTATTACTGCATTTATCGGTATTTTTTCATAAATTAACATTTTCAAAATTTCCATCCATACCATTTAATTTTTGCTCGTTTTTTTAAGTTCTCTGGGAAATCTTTTTTTCTCCTTCATGGACAATTTTATATTATGCAAATTATGCTCAAAGTGTTTGTTTTCCGTGTAGATGTGTCTTTATGGATTATTATTCATCACACGTGTACACGGAAAACAAACACTTTGGGCCCTGAAGATGATCTGAATAAAGATCGAAACATTGGTACGATAAAGAAAATGTTTTTCTAAACCTACGTCACACCAGACCACGATCTCCAAATAATCAAGGGATTTATTTTAAACTTGCACGTTTTGCACTGGCAGGAGCACTAGCCATGACAAATCTCTTACTATTATTTTTTTAAATTAAATCAAACGCAGTGTCGACTTGTCGATGTTGAAGAATCTCCAACAGCAGTTGCACTTTCACCGATTTGCAATTTATCTAAAACCTTAATTTGAATAATTAACCTTAAAAAACCTTAATAATCAACCTTAATTTTATGAGGTTTTGAATATATAGGTATGGAATATTTTTGTACTCCTTCTTCTTAATTCCTGAAAATTTTCTGGCATCACTGGGCAACTCTGACAACTCGTCCCAAAGGTGATCAATACAGTTTAAGACAGTACTTCATGCTGGCCACTCGAACTTTGAGTTGAAGCCAGTTACAAGTAGTCTCCAACGATCCTAGATGTATGGGGCCTTGTATTGTCAAGCATAAAAAAAAAAAAACTATCGCCAATTAGTGGAAGGAACAACTGCTTCTGATAGCACATCTTCAATGTATCACACAGCTGTTAGGGAACCCTCGATGAATATCAAGTTTGTACAACCTTTCAGAGATATGCTTGACTATAATACCACCACATTCACAGCTTCTGCGTAGTGAAAATTCGGTGGAGATATATTGCTATCCTGTTCTTCTCCAAACCCTCTGTCAGCTATCAGAAAATATCAAAAAACTTTGACTCATCCAAAAACAAGATTTTGGTCCAATCTTGATGAGACCAAATGTGATTTCTTGCAAAACTTAACCGAGCTGTTCTGCGTGAGAAGTTCTGGACCAGTGGCAGGTCTTTTAGCACGTAATCCAGTTTCTGAAAGCCTTCAACTTACAGTGCATAAACTGACATTAACATTTCTAACTTGTTGAAGTCGTTGCTGGATCTCAACAGCTTTAGAATGTCTAACTTTCAGTATAAAACAATGAAACTTGGAAATGAAAAACGAAACTTAAAAATGATGCAATATAAAAAATTAAACCAACAGAACATTGGAAAGAAGCTTTAAAGAAAAACCGACAAAGAAGAGATGGACTAATCAAAGATTTAATTACAAAATTCAATTGTAAACACGTGTGGGAGATTTTATCTGTTTTATTTACCTCTAATACTTTAAAACGGACCATTTGTAAGATAATCAGTGGAGGATTGTCTAAGAGATTATTTAAAAAATTAAGAATGACCACCTTTTCTGCCTCTCAGTGAAGTAACAACAGGCTTGTGCACTCTTTATTATGAACTATAATCTTTTAATTGATGTAATACAAGTACCCACCAAGGACCTATTCCGTTAATGAGCCTCCGCCCCACTCGACTGCTAAGATCTCTCTCTGGCCACATAAGGAAATGCTCCTTTAAAGGAAATCATAAATACTGAAACATTTCATTTTAGGTAATTTGTGTAATAATAATTAAGTGTATAAATTGGTTGTCATTGTAATAAAGGAAATCACATTTGAGTCCCTGGGGGCCAAAATTCAACTATTTCACTAAGGATGTCTTCGAAAACATTCACATTTTTTGCTGTACATAACTGCCACCACATAAATTCGCATAGATTGGAGTCCAATAAACTGCAGTGGGTTGTCCCATTTGTCCCTCGCATTTGCTTTTCCCCATACACTTTCAATGGGTGCACAGGTGGTCAGGTCAACAAAATTGAGAGAGTGGTTCACTGTCATATGGCGGAAACTAGGATACTGGGATAATGTTTCATACGAACTGCTCGAAACCCTGGACCGTTCAGGAATAAAATGTCAGGGATATGCGGATGTCCTGACTGCCAGGAGAAAATTCGAGGAAACCCTCTGCGATATAATCCAAGAGGGACTAAAAATCACAGAAGAATGGTGTAAAAGCGCTGGCTTAGGGATCAATCCCAACAAAACAACTATAGTCGCTTTTACACGGAAAAGGAAACTTGATCACATGAAGGAAATAACACTCAATAACACCGTGATAGAAAAAAAAAAGTCAAATATCTGGACATCACACTAGATAAAACACTAACATTTAAGAAACACATCAGCTCTACCATCATGACGACGAATCGAGCTTTGATGGTGTGCAGAAGAATAGCAGGAAGTAACTGGGTAGGCAGACCGGAAACCCTGCTTTGGATGTACACCATGATAGTAAGACCTTTACTTACATATGGAGCTATAGCCTCGGCTGATGAAGCAGAACAAATGACTAAAAGAAAAAGCTCACAAAAATACACAGACTTGCATGCATCTGCATAACAGGAGCAATGAGAACATGTCCTACAATTAGCATGGAAAAAATACTATGATTAATCCCTCTACATCACATGGTAGTAAGGACAGCGCAGAAAACCATCATCAACTTTATCGAAGAGAAACCTCCAACAGGAATAAAACTGAAATTAAGAGATAGCAAGCAATAAGACCATCCGTTACTCATGGCTCCAAGAGACGACATGAACAGGATGTTTGAATTTAATCAAAAATTCCAAACATATCTGGGTACCAAAAAAGAATGGGAAAGAAAGGGAAATAATTCCTTTAAAAATGGCACCATCCTCTGGTACACAGATGGATCTAGAACACAAGAAGGTATGGGTGCAGGAGTATTTGGACCTGGAACCAAATACTCAGAACCCATGGGAAAATACTCCAGTATCTTCCAAGCTGAGATTCATGCAATTAAAAGATGTACCCAATTCAACCTAAGTAAAAGGTACAAGAACATAATCATGTCAGATAGCCAAGCAGCCATCAAAGCACTAAGCTCGAATACCATTAGTTCAAGGATAGTGCTGAACTGCAAAACCAAACTAAACATATTAGGTATGCAGAATAAAGTCATAATAAAGCTGGGTCCCAGGACACATGGGAGTAGAAGGCAACGAAAACGCACACACCCTTGCAAGGAAAGGGGCTGCTACAACAGTGATAGGACCTGAACCCTTCTGTGGCATAGGAATCCACACTATTAACAAATATCTCAGACAGAAGGACAAAAAGAAAATGTAGGAACTTTGGAATTCACTCATTGGACATAAACAATCCAAGAATCTTCTAACCAATTTTGGTAGGAAAAAAAATCACAGAATGTGTCAAAGTTAGCAGGAACAGACTGCGAATCCTAACAGGACACTGCAGATTAAATGGACGCTTAAAGAAAATTGGAACAATCCAAGATGGCACATGTAGATTCTGCAAGGAGGCAGAAGAGACACTAACCCATTTACTAACAAACTGCGGAGCTACACTAGCCCGCAGAAAGAAATGTTTTGGGGTGTATAATGTGACAATAGAAGAGCTTCAACCATTGAAACCGGGCCTATTAATCAAGTTTCTTGATGTGCTTTAGGCAGAGCACGGGGGATACAATAGCTCTTAAAGGGTGCAGTATACTATACCCTGAAAATATATTTACATCTACATGTACATGTTTCATAAGACTTCCACTGATTGGAGGTGATGACAGACCCAGCAGCGATCCGATTGGAATTATGGGGACAAGATTTGGTTGATCTGTCCTGAATAGCGAGTAGAAAACTTTCTCTCATTTCACAGCAAATGCCACCAAAAACCCACTGCAGTGGTAAGGTTCTCCTGGTGTTGTTTTCCTTTGTGAAAACAGAGATTTATCAATTTCCACAGTGCAACTGGGGCCACCAATGTGCAAATGTCTACACAAAATAGTTTGCACAGATTGTGTAGTTGCACCAAACAAAAAACGTGTTATGATTTATACTTAACTTTTTCCCAAAACTTAATGCTTACCATTTTATAAGTATAAACATATATGAACAGCACGATGGTCAAATATGGCAGCCTTAAGCCAGTTAGACAGGTGTTATTTCTTAATGCCATTTCCACCTTGCACCTACGTTTGTAGCACCTCCACTTGTCATGCAATCCTGTCAAATGCAGCCTCGCGTCGTGCACAGCTAGTGGAAGAATGCATTTTTCCTGAAGGAAACAAACTGCCATTTCCTTGATTTTGACAGCGTCGAATAGTGCAAGAAAGTTCATTTTTATTCTACATCGAACTCTTTGATAACTGGTATACAACTGAGTAAAAGATGCTGTTCACCTTGACTCAAAACTTAAGATAAGATAGGGTAAGAGCTGAAGCACAGAGACCTAACCTTCGTCTCGATCTCTGCCACCAAGGCGGTCAAGTGGGGCAGAGGCACATTAACGGAAAAGGACCCCACAAACACAGGACAAATGAGAAAACTGAATTGGTGGTGTGTTGTGTTCTTACCAAATAATACAGCCCCTAGACCTGAGATGACGGCTGTCTTATGAAGACAATTTCCGACAGTGATCCATCGTGCGGTCTCGTCACCAAGTCTGGGCGGTTCTATGATTATTATCCTGTAGCCAAGCTCCAGAGCTCTTTCCAGTTCATCGCCAAAAGTCTCATGTGCGTTCTCATTGTCGTAGACCTCTTTTATTATCGCGCTGTCTGCTGGGTCCAGCTCCCTGAAAACACATGAAATCACTTAGATTTATTATTCCAATTCTTAAAATAGGTCGAGTTTGTTGCATTTTTATTTGACGAACGGTCAAATCCATTTCGCGGGAAAACGATTCCGCCGTACTTACGCGTCTTGGTCGTCCTTAGAAGGCATTTTCCGGCGCTTTCAGAAGAAGACAGTTGACACCAATATCACGAGAAACCATAAAGGACGATTTTTCGGCGACGGGAAAGCGATCGACGGGGCGTCCCACACCCTCCCGAGTCCCTCCCTGTTAAATCCGGCTTTTGTCCAGGGCGGCTTCCGACGGCAATGGTGCCATTCTGCCAGGGTCGAGTCGGAAAAAGCGAAATAGGACGGACCAGGGACCAGACTGTCGGGACAGTACCGAGTTTCAAGGTCGATCCGAAGAAAGGTTCACAGCCGACGACGGCTTCACAGCTGATTCCCGCCAAACGGATCCCGCCCGACCATCGACGGTGAGAGAAAAAGGCCGATTTTCTTTTCAAAAAGAAGGCGTATTTTTCGAATTTTCTATTTTCTTTGCTTTTTCCGGAAAATCCGGCTCTGAATTTTTAAAGTCGGATCGCACCGAGTCGGTGTCTCTCGGCGATCGGTCTGGCCGTCCTTTTTTCCAGACTGTCGAACCATTTCCCGCCTTTTCCAGTCATAACAGCTGTCCAAAGCGGAAAAACTCTTTTCCGAGTTTTCCTTTTGACAATTTCAAACTGACTTCCTAAGCAAAAAAATGGAAATTCTTCCCTTGAAAAGGCGATTCGACGAGTCTACCGTCAACGACATCAAAGGTTCTTTGATCAGCAGACAACAAGAAGAACAGGTTTTCTTTCAACTTATTTTTTTAAAAATTTCCAAATAAAAAATCAAATGTTAACAAGTTTTTCTTTTTTGAAATGTGATCGTTTTCGACCAATTTGGTCTGCCTTTCTTCGCTGAGTTTTATCAAAATCGTTCGGCATTCGCCATCTTCAGTTAAGGTATAAGCAGGGAGAGGCAAATAACTTCTTCCGAATCAGCACTGAGGATGTGACACCAGCGATGAGGCAGACCAAAGCACAAACTTATTATTGATACAATGCTTACATTTTTGGACATGTTGAACCGACAATTCACACATTTTGTAGTGACTTGTGCAGATTCCATATGTGTCTACCAACACGCAAACTAACACCTATCATCGACTATAACTTTGTGTGATGAGTACAAAGATGCACAATTTTTTTACAAATATCCATGATATGTATTTGTACAAATACAGTCACAATTTTTTACAATTCACTATAAATGTATATAAAAATACATAATAAGGCCATTATGAAAGAAAGAAAACACTCAGTTCCATAATCAATCTTTCGAGGAGTATATTCTCTTCATCTGGACTTTGAAACTATTTCTAATGATTAACATAGTTAAAAATATATAAATTTACCTATAATATTAAAAAGTATGGCTTCAACTGTAATGAATTTATGAGTTTAGCTTTGTATAGTGGCAAAGTCGTACTTGTCTTGTAATTACATCTGCAAAGTTAGTGTTCTTCCTTGTACAACAATCAATCTGATGCAAGCATCAAAGGAAATGTCATCCCGGAACATCGATGGCCCACCATGGAATGCCACCTGAGAAACCGTACAACATGGGGCAACCTTTCTTCTGAGTTTCTCCATATGAAATTACTCCCATCTGATGATTTGAGGCCAACTCTCACCTCAACTGTAAAGAGAACTCGTCCCCAATCTTCCGTGCGAATTGAACCTGGTCATTTTCTGCGCTGTGGTAAGAAGAGGTACACGACCCAGGTGCTGGTCCCTGAGATTATTTTCACTCAGGGACCAGCACCTGGGTCGTGTACCTCTTCTTACCACAGCTCAGAAAATGACCAGGTTCAATTCGCACGGAAAGAAATTGAAATATTTCTTATATCATTTCCTGTAATGCTGCAGTTTTGCAGAACCTGATGACGGATGAATCTACCATCTCTCTCTCGGTCAAACCTGTCCTGGCCTTCCTGTTCCTCTGAAGTGCCAAAAAACCCTTCCTATTGTAGAGTGATTTACACTCAGTCACATGGTGACTTCCCGCTGGCTGTATCCTTCTTCTAATAATGTTATGACCCAGACACTGTCATATTCACTCAAATGCCTGACTGGAACCAATGAAAAAGGAAAAAGATTAACTGAAAGCTATCTTTAGGCATAGCAGAATAGAAGGGCATAATGCTACTTTTTATCCAAATGAGATTCTGTACAAAAGTTAACAATGTACACAAACAAAGCTGTTTACTATTTATTTTAACTATGATAGCTCCTAATTACCTGTACTAATGTAGAAAGATAAAGGATTTAATTTGAAACTAAATAATTGAGTGGTGCATTAAATTTGCCCATCAGTGCAGTTCTGCAGTCATGACGAAGGGTGAAATATANACATTTATATATATATATAAAGTTACGTGTGTTGACTAAACGAGAGTCTTTTTAAAAAGAACTTTATTAGTTAAACACAACTTATAATTTGAAAAGAACCTTTCCTGTTCACGGATATGATTAATCTGAATCTGTCTTTACAAGTGTAATAGGAATAGTGAACAGGGAAGGGTTTATTGCTTACAAACATTCTCCGAATCTTTCAATTCTCCGACAGACACAACATATGTCGCTGAACTAAGGGTTTTGTGCAGGCGTAACTTATATATATAAATTATGGATAATAATTTGAGATCTTACTTTTTAAAAAATGTTTATTTAAAAAGACGTAGCTTTACCGATATACATTCGAGAAAGCGTACACAGAATCTAATCTATCTACCCTCGGTCCCTCTTTAAGTCACCTCGGGTTAAGGGGGAGAAAAATGCAATTGTGCTTAATCGACATCCGAGATAAGCCGAGTGCATTTTTCTGTACAAATAGCTCTTTAACTAATTTTTAATAATATGATATATATAACTTATATATAACTCCTCCACCCTTAGAATAATGCTTCCCCAGGGGGGTCGTCTTTTACAACATGTATTGTTTGTTTATTTTTATCTACAATTTTTGTTTTTATATATCTAATTATACATAATATTGTTACAATAATGATTAAAATATAAAGGAGTAGTGTCCATAAGCTTAAATTAGCATGTACATATGGGGTAACATTATTTTCTGTTATAATATTTGGAGAAATATCATGAAGAGTAAAACGACGAAGCTTGATGCTGAAGTTGGAGATTTGGGTTGGTTCAAATGTGAGCTTGGTTTTCCATGGCTCTTTGTCTGATAGACGAGTGGGTGTCCTTTGTATATGATTTCGCTGTTGCCAGGTTTCAGCAGAAATATACCTTCCAGGATTTTTGTTTCAATCGCGTCATCTTGGTTGATTTGAATCTTCTCTGGCATAATGAAGGTGCATAAGAATCGGTTGATCTCTGGAACCAATACCACATGGTTGTTCCTTATCTGAAGTTCTGTGTAGACGCATTGTGTATTGTTCCCTTGTAAGATGATTTCCTTTTCGCATTGATTTTGGTGATTTGATAGTAACATTTGCGGACAATGGTAAACCTTGTTTTTAACACATTCGCCTGTTAAATATGTTAGCTCATTACTTTTAGATTTAAGGGCATAATTATTTTCTGGAATAGTTGTAACTATCTTTTGGCCAAATTTTGTTGGGATGGGTTGCAATTTATACAATTCAAATTTATTGTTACTACATAGTGGTAATCGTAGGAAGTAGATTATTTGATTTGTTTCAACTTTACAGTCGACTTTGATCATATTTTTGAAGTTTATGATATTCTCATACTTCACCTCTAAGGGCAACTTAGTATACAATCTGTTCTCTAATCTTTTTAATTCTGAAAATAGTTGACGTGTGTTTATAATGCTTGGATGCATTGTTTTTAGTTTGCAAAAAGTTATTGAATTTTCAATATCTTGGATTATTTCCAGCAATAATTGATAAAGGATTTGTAATTGATTAAAAGTATCTTTAATTGAGGCTATTTGTTGAATATTTCTAATATTTGTACCAATCAAATTTATTTTATATTCCAATTCTTCTCCATTACTCCGTAAGGTGTTTATCGTTTCATTAAAGTTGCTGATTACTCTTTCGTTAAGCGAATACATGAATTTTATTTGATTTTGAAGTGTAATTTGGTTATTGTTGATGTGTTCTATGATTGTATTTAATTTTTGTCCGTCCGCATCATCCAGGTTTCCTGTAATCCATTTTATTGCTGTACCAAGTCCATTGATCAGTCCTCGTCTTTTCCTGTTATTCGAGTGAATGATCAAGTTGTCCAATTTCTCTTGAGCCATAGCTTCGGTATAGTTAAGTATTTTATTGAAAGGTATCATTTGTTCCAAAATTGTTTTGTTCGTTTTAATATATTTGGAAATTTTTCTATATTGGTGTTTTAAATTGTTGAATTCTGACTGTAATATTTCCATGTCATAATAATGCATTAAAATGTGTTCGGACGTGATTATTCTTGCTTCTCCTAAAGATATCGGTAGAAGTCCGATGTTGTGTGAGATATTTTTTATCTCGAGTGCAAGCCTAGCAGCTGACATAGCGAGGGTCCAGGTTCTGTAACATCGACATTTCCGGTATTAAACTGATAAGTCGTTTTTCGTGATCTCTTTACATTAGCTAAATGAATATTAGGTTTTATATTATGATGGGACTTTTCTATCATAGCTGTTTTCCTTAAAAGATTACGGGATTTTATTTTTTCCTTTTTCATACAAATTCTTTGTTTTAGATTGTTTTTGTTTGTTTCTTACATAAACATTTTCGGGGATAACTGATATTTCTTCTCTGTTCTCGTTTTGTTTTTCTATAATTTTTTCCTTATGTTTTAAACTGTTTTCATTAATTATTCTATATATTATCTCTACTTTATCTTTATGTTTATTAATGTAATTATTTATAAATTATAAAAACAATTGTGTTTCTAAATTTATAGGTAATAGGGATTCTTGCTTAATATGACCTGTAAGTATTTCGATCGGTTTCAGTTTTGTAACTTTGTTGTTGTACGCTAGTATCACGTAATTTACTTTATTTTTTATCGTTTCTTTTTGAAAATGTTCTTCATTGTTTAAGAGTCGAATATGTTCGATTAGTGTAGAGTGAAAGCGTTCTATTACTCCGTTTGAATCAGGGTGTTGTGACGAAATAAAGTGTACATTAATTTTGTATAGTTTCAGGAGTTCTACAACAAGAGTATTGTTAAATTCCACTCCGTTGTCTAGTATTATTTGTTCTGGTGTATTATGCCTACTGAAATGTTTAATTAATTTGTTGACTACTTCTATCGCTTGCCCGGAATTAATTTTGTAGGCTTGTGCAAATCGTGAAAACCTGTCGATAATTGTAAGAAATTTCGTGTTATCTAATGTTATGGTGTCAATGTGTACTATTTCAAACGGTTTTGTCAGTGTGGGTGTAATGTTGAATTTCAGTTTGAGGGGCCTTCGGTCATATTTTACCAATAGGCAATTTTCGCATTGATTAATAAAAGTTTGTATAGATTTTCGTTGGTTAGGCCAATAATATAGTCTTTTAATTGCACTATCAGTTTCGTCGATTCCCCGATGATTTGTTTTACCTACGAATTTTGGTAATTTTCGATTATTTCTTTTATTTCATCCTTTGATTCAATATCCATTAATTTATCTGTATACTTAGTAAAATTGATTTCGGCATCTTTGAAATATATTGCCAATGTGCAACTAAATTTTTCATAGATGTCATTTTCAAAATACAAACCATATTTAGTTTTTGGAATTATATAGGATTTGATAAAATTAATAACATCTTTTTCGAATTCGTTTTTTGAAAATTGTACCAATATGCGTTGCTTTAAGTTGTCGAATAAATTGACAACCTTGGGTTTGTCAGGGGCACATTCTACTTCCGAAATAAATATTTGATTTTTTATTTTGTTAATTGGTCCTTCTAATATGGGTATATTTACTACAGTATTACCATTAAAATTGGAATGCATTGTTGCATCTTCATCGGTTGGTTCATCTTCGTCTATATTTACTATCACGGATTCGTTGTCTGAGTGAAGTTGATCAGTATTGGATCGTTGAAATTCTAGGTCATTTGGAGTTAGATTCAGGTCTTCTAAGTTTTCTTCCCTGAGTTCAGGGTGTTTAGTATAAAATTCTTCTAACCGTTCGTCTATACTCATATTATCCAAATTGTCTATGTCTTTTGTTTCATTAGCATTTATTTCTACTCTAGATAATGCGTCAGCTACAACGTTTTCGGATCCTTTTTTGTAAATTATTTCATTTTTTATATTCTTCTAATTTCAATCTCCATCTTAGTAGTTTAGAGTTCAGTTCTTTTAGTGAAAAGAGCCATTGTAGTGGTCGATGATCACAAAAAATTTTGAATCGTCTTCCAAAAAGATAGGATCTGAAATATTTCGTAGCCCATACTATGGCTAGAAGCTCCTTTTCTATTGTCGGAAGTTTAGTTTCCGTGTCATTCAGTGTTCTACTTGCGTAGGATATAGGAAGGTCGGATCCGTTTGTTTTTTGACTAAGTACGGCACCTATTGCGAAGTTGCTAGCGTCTGTAGTCAGTATAAATTCTTTGGAAAAGTCTGGAAATTGTAAAATGGGTTCGTTAATTAGCAAGTTTTTACACAAGTCAAAACAGTTTTTATAGTCTGGATCATTAATGTCAATGGAAGAATTCTTTTTCAATCGTTTTGTCAAAGGTTTCGTTAATTTAGCAAAATTAGGAATGAATTTTCTGTAATATCCTAAAAATCCTTTAATTTGCTTAGTTGTTTTTGGGATTGGGTAATTTTGTATTACTTTTATTTTTTCATTATTCGGTTTTATGCCGTTAGGCGTCATGCCCTAAATATCCAATCTCTCTTTTTAAGAACTCTGTTTTATCCAGTTGGATTTTGAAATTGTATTTCCTTAACTGACGGAATACTTCTTTTAATTTAGTAATGTGTTCTTGGAGGCTAGCACTGAAGATAATTTATCGTCTAGATATACCATGCAATTGGTGATACCACGGAGGATATTGTCCATAACCCGTTGGAACGTGGGTGGTGAATTTTTTAGCCCAAACGGCATTCTTAGGAACTCGTAATGTCCCCGTTCTACATTGAATGCTGTCTTAGGAATACTCTCAGGGCTCAATTCTATCTGATGAAAGCCACTGGCCAAATCTATCGCAGAGAAATATTGACATCTCCCTAGCCTATCGAATAAGTCTGTGATATTTGGAAGTGGGTACTTATCATCTATGGTTTTATCGTTTAATTTTCTGTAGTCTACCACAAGACGGAACTTCTCTTTTCCAGAGGTGTCTCTTTTCTTTGGTACGACCCATATCGGTGAGTTCCATGGAGAGCTAGATGGTTGTATAATGTTATGTTCTAGCATTTCGTCAATCTGTCTCCTAACTTCGTTTTTATATATCTCAGGATATTTATAGGATTTAGTGTAGGTTGGTATCTCGTCTTTCGTTCTTATTATATGCTTTACGTCATTAGTGAACGTTAGAGGTGTACCTTCTTGATAAAATATGTCACTAAATTCTTTTGTCAGTTGTTCTATAGCTAGTTTTTCTTCCATATTCATGTGATCTGTCTTGATTTTTGCCAAGTTAACGTGGTTTTTTGTTTTGTCTTTATTCTTTGGGCTTGATAATTCTAATATTTCTTCATGGCTCACTGGTATCGTGTTTAAGGGGTTCTGTAATAGTACGTTTTTGTGGGAATCACTATTGTTTTTGATAATGCATAAGGTTTGGTGGTTCTCTACTTTTACGAGACATTCATTAATTTCTAAATCTTTAGATATGATGTGAGGAATAATTGCATGTCCAGATTGAACATTTTTTACTGGCACTTGTATTACTTGTTCACTTTTTGCTTGTATTTGATACATTTTTGGTGTTTCTTGAGGGGTATCAAGGTAAAAGATTTGTATATTAGTATCAGGCGTAGTTAATTTATTTTCTTTAAAATCAATACGAGCATTGAGTTTTTTAAGAGTATCTAATCCCATCAACATATCGAACTGGTCGTGAAATTTAAATAATCGAAATTTTAATTTTAAATTGTCTACATTAAACAATTCGTCGCATGATACAATTGTACTGAATTTTCTTGTCGATGTCGCGTGTGCAGTTGTAATTCTAAATGGGTCATTCTTTATGTTATCTTTAAAGTGTTTGTATGCTATGTTCGGCGTAATAAATGATGTAGTACTTCCGGTATCTAATAAAATTCTTAAATTGTACTTAGGTAATTTGATGTACGGGAGACGAATTTTGTCCCAGTTAGTCATCACCGGAATTCAGGTAGTGTTCGGGAACCTCTAAAAAATGAGACGAACTTTCCTTGGAAAAGTCGTCTGATGATTGAAAATTATCAGGTTGTTTCAATTTAGGTGATTTTTCGCTCATGTGATTGAGTTCTTCTGTTATATAATGAGGTGCGTGTTGACCATATTTGGCATTCTGTTGGGTAAAGTAATTGTTGGGATGTCTGTTTCTTTGCTAACTTTGAGTTGTTTGTGTTGACATCGGCGTGGGTTTCGTGTTTTGTGTGTTGGTTATTGGCATTCTAGGTGCAAATATTCGTTGGGGGTTGAAGGGTCTCTGTGTTATATTCACAGGTCCAGTTGGGAAATTTGTGTTATAAAATTTTCTGGGATGAGGATTTTGAAATGTTTTTAAAGGTTTTAAATGAGATGACTGTGTATGTGGTTCATAATTCATGTATTGGAAGTCATTAACCAGCAATCTTTCAATTTGTAACAGCGTTTTCGGGTTCCTAGTCGCTAAGTTGTTTCGTAAAGGATCTTTCAGTGAACTTATGAAATTGTGGCATATTATTAATTCTTGAAACTGAATTAGGTAACTTTTATTGGCTTCCGAGCCTTCTAAAATATTTATCTTCGAACGGAACAGATCGAATTTTTCTTGAATTTCCGCGAGTGAAGTTAATACGTTTTTGTTCGTATTGTGCCTCAAAATTTCTATGATTAAACTCGCCGGATCCTGAATATCTGAAAAGTTATTTATCAAATGTGCTTTCAATTGTTCCCAAGTAGTGAACTGAATATTTCTCATAGACTCATTAGCTTTGTCTGTCAATTTGTTTCTTATGTGTAAGAATACTAATTGTCGCTGTAATGTAGAAACATTTTGTACATTGCTCAATAAAGTATTTATTTCTTCTACTTTTATAATAAATTGGGTTAAAGTTTTAGGATTACCGTTATAAGTTGGTATAGCATCTAGTATTAGTTTCAAATCTGACGAATTTGCCATTTTTAAAATTTTATAATTACAACTTTTATTTTCTTAAAATTATAATTTTAATTGAAGTTATTGTGTGAGTTTTTATTAATATATTATTACAATTATTATAATATTTTGTTATAAATTGATATTTACTCAGAGTACGACTACAAAGTGTACCATGTCCAATTCTAGATCTTTTTTCTTCCTTAGACTGAAGTACAAGTAGGTTGATGAAGTTCGAGACGGCAAATTAACCGTTGATACAGTTGGTTTCAATATTCTCCTGAAGACCTTTGCCGTCCTACCGACTGTGCCAATTATGGATAATAATTTGAGATCTTACTTTTTTAAAAATGTTTATTTAAAAAGTCGTAGCTTTACCGATATACATTCGAGAAAGCGTACACAGAATCTAATCTATCTACCCTCGGTCCCTCTTTAAGTCACCTCGGGTTAAGGGGGAGAAAAATGCAATTGTGCTTAATCGACATCCGAGATAAGCCGAGTGCATTTTTCTGTACAAATAGCTCTTTAACTAATTTTTAATAATATGATTTATATAACTTATATAAATCTTTTATTTAGACTCTTGTCACGCTCCGAGAGTTGCCCGCAGTTCCCCCCCCCTTAGTTGAGTTCTAGAGGAGAGTGGGACTCCTGTGTGGAATAGAAATAATAAACCTTTTTATAATTTTTATTATGTGACATGGATTTTTTTGAAAGACTTATTATTTTGTTATATTTAATATTTGATTTGAAATTTATAAAAAAAAACTACATGGAAAAGTTTCAAACAAAAAAAAATTTTTTTTTAATTTAAAATGGACCTTTTTTGTAGTCATCCAACATATTTCAGTATATTTGTATTTTTTATTTTATTTTTTTATTGAATTTTATAATTGTTGGAAATATTTCAGCACAAAGGGATTTTGGTGATTTACTTATTTTTTTCAATTATATTTCCAATGAAATCCATAGTGTTCTTGTCTATTTTCTGATAAATGTAAGTCAAACTTAATGGTTTTCATATATAGATAAAAGGATTGAAACATTTGCTTGATGTCATATTGTTAGCGAGTGAAACCGAAAAAATGATCATTTGCAAAATACTCATTAATTGCGATATTGTGGAAATATTGTGCGAAAAACTTTGCACATCCAATGCGCTAGTTATAAGGTAAAATGTATTGAATCTATGGCGATTAAGTTTTTTAAATTTTTATCAGATTTGATCTATATGATTTTTTTCAATTCACAGTATTGCAATTAACTGTCTTAAAATGCTAATGGGGTGTCAGCAATTTTTCGAAAGCAGGAGAATCATATTTGTTCTTGACACAATAGTTAGAGTCATACATGTTTCAGTTGCCATTGAGTGCAGTGACGACCAAATTGTTTCGGACTGTCTTAAACTCGTATCTTTCTTACTTGATAAGTAATTTAAAAAAATTAAATTAAATTTAAAAAAAAGCCTTAACAGACTGACTTGAATTTCAATCGTCTAGAACCTTCGAACACAGAATATCATCTGCCTGCAACATCCCGCTTGTGCTCAACAACATCTGGAAGGTCTTGAAGGCAAACAAGGGACAAATTCTTAATGTATCAAATGTAGTTCTGAGCATCATGCAGTTCAAGGAAGTCGAGGATTACTTTTTCCTAATCACACCAGTCCTTGAAGCAATTTTATCATCCCTTTTGCAAGACAATGGAGATCTGCATAAAACCGAACTCATCGTTCACTTATCATTATTAGGAAAACACACAATGAAGTATGTAGGTTTTTTGTTTAAATCTTATTTTAATGAAACCCAAAAATTTTAAATTGATTTAATGCATTTTAGATAAGAAAATTGTTTAGTTTTTAAAAAATCTTAAATTTATCAAAATTTATTCCAGCTTGCTTATGAAACAAAATGGCCAAATAATGTATTCAAATCAAAATACGGCTAATATTTTCAATACTTGTTTAATGATGACTGAAAAATTTCTTGTCCCTTTTATACTCGTAAGTAATAAAATTGTAAATCTTTAAAATTTTATAATAACTTGGAGATTTCAACAAATAAGAAGACAACGAATTCAACTGCTTCGGATGTAAATATAACATTTCTAGTTTTACAAGTGATACAAAGTGTATTCTTGTGTGACAATGAAACGGCCAAGATTGATTTCGCCGTTTACTTGCTGCAAAACGGATTCTTGCAAACGCTGCAAAATTTTGAATATCGCATGAAGTAAGTTGCAACTCTTCTCGTGGAAATTGTAAAGATCGGAAATGTTTTGGTTTAGCTGTTGGCCACAGTGGGATTGCGCTCGTAGCCTTTTGACCGGCCTCTTGGCGTCTCTGTGCCAGAAAGAGCTTGGAGATGAAAACTGGTATGGATTACTTGCCGACTTAAAGCTCCTGCCTCCCAGATCTTCCTACACAAATCTGCCTCTCCGAACAGGCACGCATCTTGATTTGTTCGCTATCATTTTCAATTATTTCAAATGCATTCCTGACAAAAAGTATATAAGTAACACCCTGAAATGTTTTTTGTCTATATGGGTGGTTTATTACATTAAAAAAACTGCCATTAGACCGAGTGTTGATGAAAATTTCCTCTCGAGGGTTTGCATCTATATAAGCCTTTTGAAAGAAACGCCTTCGCCTCCAATTGTAAAAGCTATTTGGTTCATATTTGCAGTTGAGTTCTGTCAAATATATCAGCACCTATGTAAATTTGAACTAGATACCAATTGCTTTTCAGGTTGCGTGTAGAGGTGTAAAAGATGAGCTCAATGTGAAATCAGCAACGAGACAAGTTTTAGAATTTGTAAATGTACATGGTGTAAGGAAAGTTTTCACAAGGCACTCCATACTTTTGTCGTGGATATTCGCATCACAAGTCGTAAAGAGCGAAATGAAAGCCACTGCGGTATAGATACTACAACTTTTATAAGTAGAAATTCAATGAGAACGTTTTAGGTCAAACTGTGGCTTGAAGGGGGCAAAACAGAAGCTATTAATGAATTCAAGGACCTCAAGATTCATAAGGAATTTATTGTGACAATTTTGGTATTTTTGATTTAATTCAAATTACATTACAGAAGCAAAAACGAAAAATCCCCCTCTTATTGGCCATTTAACTTTTAAACCTTTTTTTGTCTTAAGAGCCTGATTTTTTCTAAATTTTTATGCCAAAATGTCTTCAACTGTTGTTTTAAAACATTATCTAGTATTAAAGTGCTTTATATATCAATTTTTCCCCATGATTATTGTGCATAAATGCACCTTATAATATTTAGGAAATTCTCGCTACAAGTGATGAGACGGCGAGTCTAGTCGAGCAATTTGTATATGCAGAAGGAAACTGCTTCGCCGAAGATGCTTGGTCACTTCTTCCGAAGCTTATCTCATCATGTGTACCTCAATCGAAAACCAACAATTGTAAAATGCGATTACAACCGATATTTCTGTCCTATTGTAAAACGCTGATTTTCAGTTTTTAACTTGACCACGCTCTTGCGATTTTGTACGGTGCACAAGCCAGGGTTCGTCGAGCAGTCCGTGATTTTGCGAATAGCCTGCTTACTCCCAGGAGTTATCGCCTCTCACTATTTCGACTCAAATGAGTCGACAGAGTGCAAATTTAGCATCGGTTTATTGTTTTTGTCCATTATACTGCAGGAAGGCTTAAGATTTAAAGATGAAAGAGGTAATATTTAGGAATTTCATAAATATAAAACTAACTTGTATTAAGAATCTAAAATTTATGATACATTAATAAACCATAGTGTTTGTTCAACTTTTGAATCATAAGAAATTCTTGACTTTCATTGAATCGAGTTTATCGTCACAGAACAACGACTTGCTAATCTCTATTCTCAATTTTTTATACATAATTATTGAATTTCAAGCGAGGACCAATATTGAGGTATACATTTAGCAGTTTTATAATCAATCATAAGCTCAGATTTTTTTTTTTATAGAGCTCGAAAGTTATCGTACTTTTCCCGCAAAACGTACTTAGATTGGTATCAAAGGAGACCGATGTGGCTTCTTTGACGCTGAAGCTCCTTGCCACTTTCTTCACCACCATTGCAATACAGGCCAACCTCGTCCTTAATATAACTCCGCCGTCAGCTACGCAGCTACGGATCCTGTACATACAAATCCATATGCACTGTTCACAGGTAGTTTGCACTTGAATGAGTTTTTACATTGTATTGATTATTCTGCGATATTACCATTGGAGCTATCAACTTACAAATAAATAACAACCCTTTACTTTTGATAGTGCTACTTTAAATTATGATATTTTTATGTAGCTCATAGCCAAGTGTATGTATTTTGAAAAAATACATGACACTTCAATTGATATGACGATTGAAATAAAATAGTGTTTCTTATAACTTTATAACTATAAAATAAAATTTTGTATTCCAGTCTTCTTTCTTCCTGGTTATTGGTTTTTAAGATATTTTTAGCAATTTTCTTCAGGAACCGTATGCCAGAAAATTGTCTAGTTCCTGAAAAAAATCAACATTTAGTGCATTTAGTGTATATTACTATAGATATAATATTAATTAATTATTAGTGTTTTGTTTATTAAGAGCTGCGAAGAGGCTGAACCTTGGAGTTGGATATGCCTCCACAGCCTTCTCAAATATTCGAAACAGCTCAACCTCCATCGTCAACTCGCCGACCTGGAGTACACGAACCAACTGCTTAAACTCTGCACCCCTTCGAAACCATCCTGGGGCCACGTGTTGCAGTTCGTCTCCGTTTGGATCACGTGCGTACCTACATTTTCGCAGAAGGCTCTGAAGATGACCCAATCCCAGAAAATGATTGTGAAGATCTTCAGGCTCTTTTTGCAAAAATACACCATCAACACTGAGGACGAATCGCTACAAATTTTCACAGAGGTAATTCAACTTTTGATGTATCATTTAAAAAATATCCACACCCAAATCTTATTTATGGAATTACATTGTAATATACATATGTGGCCTGCATCATGTACACAATTCAAGATGAAGGAAGCACCATCTCGACTGTAGGGATTCCTCGAGCATGTTTTCAGCTATTTGTGTCAAATTTTTGATGGACCCTCTTATCGTGCTCTTGCTATAGAAATATGCCGAGCTGGAGCGCCTTGGAAAAATGGCAGTAGTCATTAGGTACCTGGACTGGAGGGCAACAAAAGTGCAGATGGGACTGGGGACCACAGTAGCCAAGTGGTTAAGATGTCAGACTCTCAGCTAGTTCCCGCAGTCGTGGGTTTGATTCCCACTGATGTGTCTGGACTTTTTTCCTGACACACCTAAAGGGACCGGTGGCCACAAGTGAAAAAAATTGACATGGCACTTATCAATGGAAGGCCTGGGGCGGGATCAGATCCCAGCGACCCTGGATTTGGTCCCGACCACCTTCAAAAATAAGTTTCTTCGATGGAAGAACACCATGGGCTCAAATTCACAAAAAATGGAGCCAGGGAGAAAGTACAATAAGCTGTATACTACAGCTGAAAAAAAAGAAAAAAAAAGTTGTCTGGAGAAGCTCTTGTGCGTCAAAAGCATGATGACCAATAGCCCCCCGAGAGCCTGAAACAAAAGGAAGGGATCATGCTCATCCACTTAAAATAGGCCATTCCCACTTGTAGAGGAAGGTGCCCTTGGCACCATACATATGCATGGGACCTCACACACACACACACACACANCACACACACACACACACACACACACACACACACACACACACACACACACACACACACACACACACACACACACACACACACACACACACACACACACACACACACACACACACACACACACACACACACACACACTTCGCGATTGTGTGAATGAGTATGTGATAAGGCCGATGGAATAAAAAAATAAAAAATGGAAACAATTTTTCTCATTATTAACTAATAACAATAGTAGTTTGTTTACATTCTTAAAATACAATAAATATTATTTGTACATCATTTTTCATGTAAAATTTAATCTTAAGTTGAAAGAAGGCATTTGGTTGACTCTTTGGCTTAATGGAAATATTATTTTATTAAAACTATTTGAACTTTTTAAATAGGAATAGTTAATTATGTTAGTGTATAGGACTATAATAAGAATTTTATTTGGCATATATTTGATCCTGAAATTTATATATAGTATATAATATATATTGAAAAAAATTACCCAGGAAAATATTTAATATTAAACAAAATAATAAACTTCTTAATTTCATGTTCATCTAGGTTTTTTACCAATAGTATTTGTTAATTTAAATTATTTTAGTTTTATTAGCAACAATTCTCCAGCTTAGTTTGATCAAAATAGTATTAAAGTCTTAAAAAAAATTCCCTGAACTCTGGCAATATTGGAAGCACATAATCGCCAAGACCTCAGTGATAATAAAATGTTAATAATATTATATTTAAAAATATTCAGTCCATTTAACGTCAAATCTAAACCCTTAACGCCACAGGTAGCCAGGTTTTGGTCTAGGCCAAGGTCTCTCAAATGCACACATTTCTTAAAATGCAGTGTGCTCAAGAACTCTATTCCAATTATTCAGTATTTCAATTGGCATCTGGTGGACACATACTATGAACTGGTGAGTGCCATGGAAACTTATATGAAATGTGAAGCAGAAGCTTGAGGAACAACACGTTATGATGATCTGGAAAGACTGCCTGAGATTTACCCAGTTGTATGACTAGTACAAAAACTAGCTATGAAATATCTCATACATAACTCCCAGATACACCTGTAATGCTGATGGTTAAAGAACTAATCAAATGTGTCTATATTATAGACCTGAAAAACAATTACCCTACCAACAGAATTTTAAAAAAATAAATAAATAAACCAAGAGACAAACTATAAACTCCTAACCTAAAAATATTCAAATTTGTAATAAATACAGTAATTTTAGTAATAAAGGAGGAAGTCCAATAACTGTTGCGGACTTCAACAGGGGTCAAACCATTTTACACTTTTTTCATATTCTTAATTAAAAGTTTTGGGTTATAATACAGTTCGCAAGCATGGCAAATACAGTTCAGATTAACCCAGTACTAATACTGTCTTAAGTAAAACATTTTGGGCCCCAGTAGCTGAGTGGTTAAGGAGTCACACTCTCACCTAGTAGTTTGAGTCCGACTGTCGACTGAGTTGACACGGCATCAACAGATTTGGGGGGGGGGGATTGGGTCTCAGACAACCTTAATTTGGTTCTGACTCTTCAAAAATGAGATTCTTTGATGCAAGAAAACTGGCACACCGTGTGGCTCAAATTATATATGGTGAGCACCCAAAATGGAACCAGGAAAGCTGTAAAGCTGCAATGCTTAAAGGGAACTCATCCAGCAGTACCTTAATTAAATATATGCTTAGTAAAAATTGTAATATACAGTAATCCCTTATCATTTGTGGGTGTTGGTCCTAGAAAACTGCCGTGAATGTTAACTCCACAAATGTTCAGTCTATTTTCCTATGCTATAAGGAGGGCTACGTTCCATGGGCCAAAAACCGAGATACAATTTAGAACTAAAAAAAAAAAGCATTTTATTCAAAATACACATAATAAAAGATATACCAATGATTGAACAGGTTAATGGTTTTATTGTTTCTATTTTTTTATGTGCAAGGAAAGAAATAACATAATAATAATATGATATTAATTGGTCAAGCGGACCACGAAACTAGTGAATTTAATAAGTTTAAAATGAAGTATCCTTCACTAAAGCTCTCCGTGGCCATTTCATTTGTCGCCGAGAATCAAATTGATTACACATTTGAAAAATGGCAAAAAGGAGGGAAAATTCAAAAGGTGCGGTTGAGATGGGAGGTTGGTGTCCGAGTGGATCGAGGTCACGATAGCACAAGTGGTAGAGCAGCGGCGTATCTAGCCGAAGATCGTGGGTTCGAATCCCGCTCATGCCATTGAATTTTTTATCTCTACTAAAAACCTTAATTAATTGTATGATATTAATTGGTCAAGTGGACCACGAAACTAGTGAATTTAGAAAGAAATAACTATTAATTATTCACTGTTTCGCCGAATAATTAATTTCTTTAACAATTTTCATAAGGTATAAAGGACATAAGGATTTGAAGTGGCCTCGACATCCCTTTTAAACTTAAAACTTTGATTTAAAGATCGGTCGAAATCCATTGCTTTTTGAATAAGTTGGTCTGTCAAGGTTAAAATTTCCCTGAGCTGTTTTGAAGAAAAGCTTTGGCCTGCATAAAAAATGTACCATGTCCAAAAATTTTATTCTCTCTCCAAGGGTCAGGATGGTTTTTTTTCCCGTTCTGGAAGAGTGGCATTTTGCGACACAACTTCAACGGGAAAATAAAACAAGCTGAGAAGAAAGAAGGCAAAAGTTTTCTGAGAATCAATTAGAACGTTCAATCCATTTTTTAAAGAATTATTTTTGATACAAAAATAAAATTGTTTATGCAAGAAATCGGACTTCTGAAAATCTCAAAATTTTCATATTTGAATAGTGAAAACTGCAAATGTCAAAACCGCAAGTGTTAAGGGATTACTGTATTTATTTTATACATAAGATGGCTATAGGGTTTTTTGTATACTGCAACCATCAAAGTGAAATCATTGTGCTCCTCTGAGAACTCCTGCCGAGTTAAAGCTCACTAAATAGATCCAGGCTGTTTATTAGCCTCCATAACCTTAGTATAGTGACTTCTCAGTTACATTTAGTGGATTCAGCTATTCTTTGTCCCTGAGTAGAAACCGTTTCCTTGTCAATCCTTCACAGTGTTCAGTCAGTACTAAATATTCCAATATATTGTTCTATTCTTTTAAAAGAAGAAAAAAAATTATATATATATATATATATAAAATTAAAAAACTGAGTACTCTTCACTGCAAGATCTTGGCATAAATTTTATATTAATTAGCCCAAATTCTGTTAACAATATTGCCATTTTTCCAAATTAATGGTGAAGGTTAGTTTGTCAAATATTTACACAAGCAGGACAATATGAACGTTTGTAAAATTACCCAGCCGCTTTTACATTACTTATAAATATAATTGATTAAAATTAAAAATACTATTGGAAATGTATTCTTTAGAAGACTACAAGGTATAGACTTAAATAGAAAATATTTTAAAGTGGCACAAAATTTGATTTTTTTTTTTTAAATCCAGGCATTGGGGATCTCATCACTTCCCAATGAAATTGAAACCTTACTGAGATCCAATTTAAAGAAATAATACTGTTTAACGTTGCACAAAGATTATCACATAAGCACACGATGCGATTAGAATGGAGGCTATCTCTGCCGGCCGGAGCGTTGGGCAAAGCATCCTTTGAAAGAGTTGAGCCTCACGTCGATCTCACCATCTTCAAGCTGCAAAAAAATAAATAAAAAATAAAATAAATAAAAGTAAATAAATTAAATTGAGTTTTTGTTTGTTCATTTCTGTTTCTCACCTGATCCTGGTAGTAGATTTGTTGGTAGCAGACGGGTGAAATGCATTCCCTGATGCATTTGAGCCTTGCGAGCGCCTTCTGCAACGAGCAAGTTGGGTTCTGTTCGCATGCCGCCTCAAATTCCCTAAATGCCATTTCCTGAAACACGACAAAATTCGTTGCAAATTAACATAATTTCATAACCAACCCTCAATTGTTTATAAATTTACAATCCAGTATATAGTCATATTAAACAGAGAAAAAGAAATATTATTTTAATGTTTTGTTTTAAATAATATGTAACAATGTATACAAAATACAACAGGTGGCTTTGCTGATCTAGACATGTTGAGAAGCCTGGAATTCAGCAGAAGAAAAACAAGACTCAAAATAAACAAAAAGAAGGCTAATCTAATAATAAAAAAAATGAAAAAAGGAATACATAATATTACATATAATATAAAATAATATATATAATAATTTAATAATATATAACAATTTTTATTTAATTTAAAAATAAAAATTTAGTTTCCATCACTTTGGTCTGCCAATCCATATTGGTTATCAGACATGTTTAAGCATTTAGCCATCTTCAGAGGGGGTTTGTTTGGTGCCTCGACCTGCTTAATACCCTGATATTACCACTGGAAATGACCAAACTACGAAGTTACCTCAGGAGGAATTCACACAAAATAGATCATAGTTTGATTGTATCCACATTCCATACTGGATAGACAGACATGTTTAAGCATTTTGCCATCTTTAGCGGTGAGTTATGTTGGTGCCTTACTGATGTATACCTCTTACACAACCATCCCAAACTCTGTACACCCCCAAGAGGAAATTGAAAAAAAAAGTCATAGTTTGATAGTTTCTAATCACTATGGCCTGAATTTCCATGCTGTTTAGTCAGACATGTTTAACCATTTTCCCATTTTTGGCAGTGGGTTGTGTTGGTGTCTTCACTGACTTATTCTTCACACAACCATCCCAAACCCCATAGACCTCAAGGGGAAATTGAAAAAAAAGGTAATAATAATTTCTAATCACTATGGCTTGAATTTCCATGCTGTTTAGTCAGATATGTTTAATCATCTTCCCATCTTTAGCGGTGGGTTGTGTTGGTGCCTTCACTGACTTATTACTTTCAGAGAGAAGAATACTTCACACAACTATCCCAAACCCCATAGACCTCAAAGGGAAATTGGAAAAAAAAAAAGTTATATTTTGATAGTTTATAACCACTCTGGTTTAAATATCCACTATGTGTGGTCAGACATTTCAGCATACGGCCACCTTCTGTGGTCTGTTTATGTCAGTATTTCACCCAGTTTGGAACCCGACGGTGGAATGCAAGTGCACGTCTGACAGACCAACCAAAGGCGACTAAGATGATGGATAACGTTCAAATTACAGACCACAGGAGAAAATTTCACGTCCGTATGTCAGTGGATTAGTGGAATGGAATCGGTTTGAATAAATATTCATTAAGGATTTTCTTTGTAACTTTTTTTTTAAGTGGTTCAACGGCAGGAGTTATGTTGTGCAAAGCAGACGTTTATGCATTGATTTTTGTGCTTTTCTTTTGTTCGTCTTATATGTCAATGAAAGGTCACCTGGATTCATTCAGGAACAAACCTATTAGCGAATATTTTACTTTCATAATTTCAATTTGTGAGACTTGCTAGATAGTTTGACATGAATGATGAACAATTAAATTGTTTCACCTGACAGACCAGATTCGTGCAGACTTACGTTTTTGTTGGTCTCTTTGTATGGGAATTCGGGAAAGACGAAAGTTGTCTTTTGGCACTGTACAGCGGTGGTTAAAAAGGTAAAAGCTATCAGTCGAAAAGTCAGGAGCATCTTCGACCTGGAACTAGCCGAGTCCCGAGTTCACCGGCTCCCGGCCAAACGGACGAAAACTTTTGACAACCGATGTCAAAACTGAACCTTAAGATTTCAACCGCTGTTGGTTGAGGCCATCGATTAATGGTTCGACATCAGTAGATTTTGCTTTTTTTTATAAAGAAAAAGTTGATGTATGATTGTAAGCTAAAGCTCGGCCTAACGCAATGATCTTTTATTTTGCCAATTATGTTATTGTATAATAACCAGTATATTTAAGAATCTTTGAAATTATCGATTTGATTTGTGATAATCGACACGCTGCTGTGGCGTCGGTTCTGTAGGCAGTCGGTGTGCGGCTTGAGGTTATAGAGCTTGAACCCAAAGCGCCGTTTTGGTTTTTTGAAAAGTTATTTTATTATTTTCACCAGTTTAATTCCACTGCGATGAAAGGCTTTTGAAATTGGGCTTGATTCGAAGACCTTCTCCGACGTTTGGGACTTTAGTTGGACTGTTTTATGAGGTGAGTCGGCCAGACGTCATTGGCATATCTACGGCTTCAGCACTGGTGATTATCCTTGGAGCTGCATTTTACGTTTTTGTGAAACTTCCTCTAACGTTTCTTTAATCTTGTGGCATATCTTTTTCTACCTGGACTATGCATATTTGCTATTTCACACTTCCAGCAGGTTTGCGGTTTTCCATCCAGACGACCAACAGTTTTGGTCGTTTCGTGGTCCACTTGTGATCCAGATAGTTTTAGAGTCTACAAACATGCCCACTAAGTCATCTGTTTATCATACTTTGCATACTACATTAGGTATGCATAGTCCAGGTGCTAGCCTTGTGTTTACTTTAGCGATATACAAAGTTTGTGTGAATAGGATTTTTGTGTTATTTATCATGGTGAAGGAATATGTTGTGTGAAATTAAAGGCTGTTAGAGTAGGTGATTCCAAAGTCTTTAATGATAGTCGGCTTGCCCAGTTGTCTTGTATGGCATACTCCGTTAATCAGGAAGTAATTTAAGGAATCTGTTAGGTGTCATAAAAGCTCTTTGGTTCTTCAGATGCCAGTCCAATTTCTTGCTCCTCTGCCATAGTGAATCCTATATAATCGATTCCCAATGCAGTTTTTGATTGCTTAATAACGGGTTGGACTGTTGCGCTAAACCCTTAAACATATATTTTGTAATATTTGTCGCTCCCAGTTAGGTTGTCTGTATTTGTCCGAAAAATTGTCACTTTCTACTGTTGTGCCTTGTATATAATTCCAAGGGTTGTAATGGAATTCAAATACAGGACTAGTAGCATATCATGAGAATCAACTGTTCTTACCCCCCACTTCCCCCATCTCACTATAAAGCGGTATTTACACTGAGTTGATGTGACATGAGCCCATGTGTTACCTCATGTGCTGAAAAACAAAAACAAAACAGAAGTTGATTTAAATAGGAGTGTACACGTTGACCTGACAACATGAGGGAACACAGGGACTGATGGGCTGACCCCACCACACATTTTCTGATGCATGTGGTACCACCAAACTTTCCACTTATTGTCAGTGAGTGTGAAGGCGTGTTGCAAGAAAGATGGCATGGAAATGGAAGAACTGCTGATTGAGTATGTCCGGAGCAACCCTGTTTTTTATGATCTATTTTCGAAGGAGTACAGAAACCAAACAGTGAAACTCTTCTGTTCTTTAGAGGTCAGACCAAGTTCTTGTTCCTTTGCCATAGTGAATCGATTCCCGATGCAGTTTCTGTTGATTGATAATGAGTTGGCCTTTCATGCTAAATCCTTTAACATATACTTTGTGATATTTGTCACTCCTAGGTTTTCTGTATTTGTAAATGTTTAATCTGAAAAATAAATGTACAGGTTTTAATATGTGTCTTAGTAGTTGTTTCTTCCTTTTTCAAGACACATGTTGGTAATTGGCATAGGTATACCATGATGTTGACTCACTTCAGTTTTTTCTTGATTCATCTCTGTTTCTTCTTTTTTGCTTTTTCTTTCATTAGGTTAGCCTTTCTTTTGATTACTTTGAGACTTGGTTTTCTTCTGCACAGTTCCAGGCTTTTCGTACAGACTGGTTACCTATTGTTATATACATTGTTCTATGTATAGCTATATTAATTTTTTTAATTCATATTCACCATTTTTATTGTTAAGGTTTCGTGATGGATCAAATTCATTTGAGCCTTCCAGAAGATTCACTGAGTGAAGAGCAACAGATAGAACACCCTGGTGAAGAGGAAACTCACACCGCTGATGCGGACATTTTGGCTGGAATTAATGTTGAAAAGGAAATCACTGAAACTCATGAGCAAGGGAGTGTTGGTCTCGAAGGGGAGGAAGATATGCTGCTCGAAGGCAGAGATGGTGAGACAGCCGAAGCTGAAGAGACCAGTACACTAGATCAATTAGCCACTGCTCCTATCCACGAGGAAGCGCAAGAGAGCGGAGAGACGATTGAAAAAATCCAACAGGCGATTATAGATGGGGCTAAACTCGACTTCGCTACTAGTGAGCCGACTGGGGTCGAAGAACACATGGACAGCTCCGGATTTTCTGAATCTGATTCTGTTCCTGTTTCTAATGAGCAACCCGAACCGGAAATGATGGAAGCAGATGGCGAGCATGTAGAAGGGCATGAATCGATGGAAGGTGTAGAGACGGCAGGATTGACAGGGGATGAGACATTAGCAGCGGACTTAGAAGGTGCAGTAGGGCTTGAAGAGGCGGAAGACCTAGAAGGCGTTGGTCTTGAAGGCCTTGAAGGTACAGTCGGTACATTAGAAGAGGGTAAAGGAATGGAGGGCCCGCAAGATTTGGAACCGCACACGCTGGAAGAGCATGGAGGTGAACAAGCAGAAATTGTTGGAGAAGCTGGAGAACCGATAGCCGAGCATGCGCTTCCTGAAGAACATACCGAGGCCCTTGAAACTCCCGAAGCTGCTGAAGGGCATGAACAGTTGGAACGGGTCGGAATGGAAGCGATCGAAGCCATGGAAAAACAAGACACAGTTGCAGCGGCTGTAGAAGGGCTAGAGGGTCAGATCTCATTAAGCGAGGACCCTCTTGCTGTTGAAAGGAATTTGGCATTACTCGAGGGTGGGCACGAAGGCTTAGTACATTCTCAAGGAGAGTCTGAACATGCTCAGCAAATGGATGCTGTACATTTACCCCAGGTCGGTCATCCTTCAGAGTTGGGAGTGAATCTGTTTCAAGGTGAGGATGACCAGGCGACAGACGACGCTGCATTAATGCAACAAGCAGAACAGTTCCAAGAAGCTGCAAAAACACCTTCACAAGAGCAAGACGAAACACCTCTGGAAGATCCGAATGCCAGTTCCATCCCGATAGTTCCAATAGGTTTGGCGCCTGAACATGGTACAAGCCAAGAGATTAAACGGGAACAAACCGCAGACGATTCTGAAATACCAGGGAATGATGATCTTGCAACCTTGGCCACTGCTGCATTAACCCAAGCGACAAATGGTGTTAAAACAGAGGACGCTTCCAAAAAAGAAGAACCTGTTTGGTGTGATGTAGGAATCTTCAAAGGGACTTCCTGCTTTGTCAAGTCTTATTACTTGCCCCAATCGCCTCTTGATCAAGAGCATGAGTTTATGACTTTGGACAACCTCCCAGATTTCGCCAACCGCATGAAACTCGAGCTCGAACCAGGCACTGCGTACAAATTCAGGGTTGCTGCTATAAATTCATGCGGACGAGGGCCATGGAGCGAAGTGGCTGCTTTTAAAACATGCCTCCCCGGCTATCCTGGCGCACCTTCTTCGATTAAAATATCCAAGTCTGCTGAAGGAGCGCATCTCTCATGGGAGCCTCCTTCCAACCCAGCTGGAAACATAATCGAATATTCGGTATGCCTGGCAGTCAGGAATAGTGCCCAGTCAACCTCAACTGACAACAAAGCACAACAGCTGGCTTTCGTCAGGGTGTACAGCGGTCCACAAAACCAAACCATTGTACCCAATGCATCTCTCGCTGCAGCACACATCGACACAACCTCTAAACCAGCAATTATTTTCAGAATAGCAGCCAAAAATGAAAAGGGCTTCGGGCCCGCTACTCAAGTCAGGTGGCTCCAAGATGTCATTGCTTCGCCAGGGGGCGGTGTCAAAACCCTTCAGAAAAAAGATCCCTTGAATTCAAGTATTGCAATTAAACGAGTCAAAACCGAAGAATACTAAGGGAATTCTCTTTACCCCAATGTTTTTATTTGTGAAAAAATTTCATTTGGTGTTTAAAAAAACATATTTTATATATTTTATACAATAAAAGTAAGTAATGACCTTTGTAAATAATAAAATTGTTTTGTAGGAATCTTAGATGTAAAAATACCTCATCCTATCTATGTACAATCACCATCTGGAATTTTCTATTAATAAAGAAAATTATCTACTTTTACTATTTTATTTATGGTGTGAGATTTTTCCATGTGGTCTGCGAGGTAGGTGATGAACCTGTAATTTGGTCGTTATCAATGAGCCTGATCTGCCTACCCTGCTGGATTGGCCTGACATGCGTTTTGACATTTCACCATCAACAGGGTTGGGCCAGGGTTTTATTTATGACTCCATGACCTAAAAAAAAATCTTGCTACTCGTTAAATTACTAGGCTGAAAATGGGCTTTAAATAATCATTGTTTCTGTCCCATCAATCAAGAATCTTCGGATAGTCCTTGATCAGATCTTGTACTGGAAGCCCTTATCGCAGATTTCCTATCTCTGCTTATACACCCTTCATCGGTTCCATCTAGCTAACCACCTTCTCCCCTTTGGTATGCATAAACTCTCATATTCCTCCACCATTTTAATGGATATGGTGCACAGATAACTTCAAGAAAAGCTTAACATCTAATGAATTGTTTTATCTTCAGCTCCCTGAGAAGATGCACATGACTGATCTGTATGACTTGTAGTGGATATATTCTTCCGCAAGCGATGTAGAATGAATCAACCAACCTATGAGTAAAGAGGGATACAAAAAGTGACTATTCTGTCAGTTCAGCATGAAATCAACTCTGTTATCTTCCCATTCCCCTTTCTACATAACATATTATTTGATGTCACCTTCAAATCCTCTGTACACCCTGCCAAACTTGTTCCCACCTTTCTAACCTTCAGTTCTCATGAGTGCCTCCAACCTATGAATTCCTTTCCTCCTTCTACCAAGCACCATCTTTTCCTAACTTTAAATCAGTTTAGTAGATTACCTTTTGTCCTTACACCTTGGCACCAAAGATTTTTACTTTAATATCCTTAGTAGAATATTGTTTATATGTATATATTTTTTGTAAGTAGATATCTTTGTAAAGCCTTATCAGGCTTGAAATGCTGTAAATGTGTTGTATTCTTAATTAATTATTCATAAGGGCAGAATAAAGTTTATTTTTCAATTAATTTCACATGTGCAGAGACAACAACTACTTAGTGTGTGCTATAAACGTTCTAAGCACTTGAGGATTTGGAAGAAAAAAAAAAGGAATTGCTCTCAATATACAAATATTTTTATTTACAAATTTTAATTAGCAGACGATATTTTATCAACATTCATTCACAGCTAAATCTCTTTTAATTCCAGATCAATTAACTTTTTTAGAATGTCGTCAACATTGATTTCTTCGACAACCTCTTTTATGATTTCATCAGTCAGCCTTGTTACGACCCTAAGATATGAAAACTGGTCAAAAATATTCATCAAAATCAAAAAGTCTCAGGTGTAAGATTACCTGTCGACCACTTTGTCCCTGTAGTCGTCGTACCAATCGCTCTGTATCTTGAAAGCGTTGAAAGCCCTCCGGTAATTGCGAAGGTTCTTTTTACCGACTTGGAATTTGTTGGGCTTCACGCGATACGAACCAGCTTTTTCCTTATTATCCTGGTCCTTTTTTGAGTATTTAACGCAAACGACTTTGATATTTTTGCTCACGTTTTCCGTCACCCCTTCCTTGCTGAGAATTTCACAAATAAACATAAAATAAATACACTAATGTAAAATATCCTCTTTGTGTCCCTGAGATGATGAGCATGCAAGTAGGTCATTTCTGATCATTTGGCTCTGCTTATCCTTGCTATGTTTCAGCTTCTCGCCATATCAGTTCTGGGTCAAGGGTATAAACAGGGAGAGGCACCAACACTATGGGTTTTGCTGAACTTATATTTTTTCCCCATATTGGATGGGATAATATATGAATGTGACTACGTCTATGTGACAATACTAAGTCTATGTGGCAATACTATTTCTATACCAACTTTTATTATTTTTTATATAATATGTTATTTATGTTATTCTTAATTGTACATATAGCCCATTTGTAAGTATGTCGGTTTCGAATCCAGCAGCCCTGCATTCGAACCCAATATACTTACAAATGGGCTTTTTTCCTGCATCCTGAGGGTTTACCTCTGCTGTTACACACGATTTTTCCCCGCTTGTGACAATATTTCATTTCGAAAAAATCTTGAGATAAAATAATTAATTAATCAATTAATTGAAAAAATATGTATTATTAAGAATAATACAATAAAAAATAGTAAAAGTTGGTGTTAACCTAGAATCACACCTGCGGATCGTACACAGTCCCGCTAATGTAGTACAATCGTTAATAAATATGCTTCTATATGGAGCTGTGATTTGCTTACTGTTGGAATAAAATGGGAAGTCGAAATGAGAAGTTTTTGGCATAGACGATTGAAGTTATGGAAACTCAAGTGGTTGGAGCAGAGGTGTATTGAGCTTAAGGTTGTTGGTTTGAATCCTGCCTGTGTCACAAATTTTTCATTTAGAAAACATCTTGAAATTAATTGAGAATACTAGTTCTGTGTGCAATACAAGGTCTATGCAACAATACGAGGTCTATGTGACAATACAAGGTCCATGTGGCAATTCTAGTTCATGTGATAATTTCTATACGACAATAGAATAGAATAGAAAATACTTTAATATTTACCAAAAATTAGTTTACACCAGTGAATTTTATTTACATCCACAGTATTTATGACATGGTTTACCGTATGTCGAAGATCATTACAATCTGTCATCAAACAAGGATTTCCTATATATTTATAATTTCCTATGCATATGTGTCTCAAAAGAAAAAACAACAACATAATAATGATGAATATAAAAGATAAATAAAGATGAACCTTCTGGAGAACATTTAAATGGAAGCAGTACAACACAAATTAATTTACTTGTTACCTGACTGCCCATGAACAAAATCATATTGTAGGTTCATCCTTGGCGGGCATATTGTATGAGGGCTTCTACTCTATATATATTATTATTCTCTATAATTTAATCAGGTTTTCTTTTGATAGGGTAAAACTCACTTAAGATAGTGCATTCAGTAATAAAATGGTGAACATTTCTCCACAGCTTGTGATTTGTTTTTGGCCTTAGGGTCTGCCTATTAGCCAAGAGAATGCGGGTTGCAGCTACTGCCCCAGAAGCGATTCAGAGAGTTCAAATAGTTAGTAAGTTCAAGTCCTTAAGTCTCCAAATCTGCATTTAAGGTTATTCAATAATCCCACAAAATTATCTTAACTTATACATACCTTTATTTAAAGAGAGCTGATTGTAAATTGACTGACTAGATTTGGCCAATTCTAAACATTCGTGACGGTGTTGGTCGGTAATAATAATAAAATTTGAGGAAAAAAAACTTGGCCAACAGCCAATGTTCTCTCTGGTTGGAAGGTCTCAAAGGCCATATTTTTCACCTAGGGAATGCCATTGTAAGAACCAGGAAACACTCGAGTTGATAATCTCAGTGGCTGTGGTTTTGGTTAATCTTGATTTAGGCAGCAAGTGGTTTTTTTTTACTTATGCAAAATGAAGTTTTAAAGTAAAACTAGTTTTCTAGGTTTAGTTAAGTATTTTAAAGTGTTTTGCGAGGTTTCAAGATATAATACATAGTTTGGTATTAAATTTGGCAGTGAAAAAAGTTTATGTATAAAACATCTCTGAACTTTTTCTATAATATTATACGGTTGAAACCACCATACTTGAAATCCATAGCAAAGGATGGAACGGCATACAGCGTTAAAGACTGCAATTTTTGATTTGATTGGGACAACATCCTTATCAACCATGGTCGCCAAGTCCTATTAAGGGCTAATCCTGCTGTAGACACCTTCTGCTTGAAATGTTCAACATCACAAGGTGAGGAGTATTCACTTAAATATTTATATTCATTGACTACTTCAATACGTTCCCCTTGGAAGTACTTAGCACTGTCAGAACTTTCCAATTCTTACTGAATATTAATATTTTGGACTTTTTAAGATTTACAGTCAGGTTCCATTGTTGACAGTAAGCTTCCAGGAATTGAATATTTCTTTTCAGATATAAGCCCTCTTAAGGATTTCAATACCGCCTGTGTATCCTATTTTTATACCATATTCCGAAACCTGAGGAAGATCGTCTAAGAATAGAGCAAACAATAAAGGACTTATGGGGCAGCCCTGTCTAACACCACATTCCACTTTAAAAACTTCAGACAATCCGCCCTGACCTTTCACTCTTGATCCCTTAACATCAAAAATTGATTTTAATACGGAGAGGTATGGAGTACGAGTCTACCCAGGCATTTAATCTCTCGGGCCTTGGTTGCCCATCCTGCATAATATACAGGGTGAATTGCTACTCGTGCTACAAACTTCTCCAGTAGATTCTTCACCCTAAAATGAACAAAAAAGTTCATATTGTCCATGGTCCGATTCTCAACCATTTCAGAGTAATTTCGCTTTTTATCGATTTTGAAAGATATCACGTCCTGGCGTCGGAAAATCGTGATATCTTTTAATCTAAACATTTCTCTGAAAATCTAATAGCACCGTTGAAATTCCCGTTAATTTTTCAATAAGAAGATGACGGTGGCAAAATGTTTGGGCTAATTTTTTGTGTTTTATTTCAGCCAGAACTACAAAAAGAGTGGAAAATTGTGTAAATCGGAAAGTGTATAAAGTAATCCAGAGTTTCTAATTTTAGTCTCAGAAGGCAGCAAATTTGAGGAAAACTACCTGATTTAATAACGCTTCCAACGCACTCGTCATTTTCTTATTTAGTGGTTGTGAGACCAAGATGTTGATGACAAAAAGAGAAAAAATGGTGGTTCAAGGATTGCTAATGTTTGAGAGTGACTTGCTACTCGTGCTACAAACTTCACCAGTAGATTCTTGACCCTAAAATGAACAAAAAAGTTCATATTGACCATGGTCCGATTCTCAACCATTTCAGAGTAATTTCGCTTTTTATCGATTTTGAAAGATATCACGTCCTGGCGTCGGAAAATCGTGATATCTTTTAATCTAAACATTTCTCTTAAAATCTATAAGCACCGTTGAAATCCCCGTTAATTTTTCAATAAGAAGATGAAGGTGGCAAAACGTTTGGGTCTTTCTTCCTTGACCTTCTAGCTGTTTGTAAACTTCTTAAGCATTACATACTAAATGGGCATTAAATTAAATTAAAAAATTTCAATGGAATTATGATTTTGATTCTCTCTAAAAATTAACGGGGATTTCAACGGTGCTTATAGATTTTAAGAGAAATGTTTAGATTAAAAGATATCACGATTTTCCGACGCCAGGACGTGATATCTTTCAAAATCGATAAAAAGCGAAATTACTCTGAAATGGTTGAGAATCGGACCATGGACAATATGAACTTTTTTGTTCATTTTAGGGTGAAGAATCTACTGGAGAAGTTTGTAGCACGAGTAGCAATTCACCCTGTATATAAGATGGAGAGATGTTTTACTGATATTCCTAGATTGCTTAATTTTAAGAGAAGACCCCCCTCCTGTAAACACTGTCAAAAGCTGACTTGAAATTAACGAAAAAGCTGAAGTTTTTTATTAGGCTTTGTCCATTTCAAATTAATTAAGTTCAAAAAAAGTAAAGATTTTATCAAAAGTGGAGTAGCCTTTCCTAAATCCCATTTGGTATTCACTGAGCAAATCATTCCTCGACATGTAAAAAGCTATGTGATTAACCAGGAGGCTAGAAAAAGTTTTGCTAAGGCATCTAGACATGAAATTCCCCTACAACTCTCCACATCATTGATTTCGCCATTCTTAAAAAGAGGGAATATAATTCTCTTTCGTAAGATGTTAACCGCACCTATGTTATAAACATAATAACAAAATCTAGAGCAGTATGTTATATGACAGTACTAGTTCATGAGACAATATGTGTGGCAATGCTAGGTCTATGTGACATTGCTAGATCTATACGACAATACTATGTAATATTATTAGATCTATTTAGGAAAAATTTGTGAGGATAGGCAGATGGTAGGTAACTGTCAAAATACTAAGTCCGTCTATATGACAATACTAGATCTATTTGATGATGCTATATGAATGCGACAATACTGGGTCTGTAATTTTGTTATATAAAGCCTCACCTCTCTTATAACCCTGATTAACATCAGATCATCCAAAACACATCTGACAGTATAAAGTAACTATAAATAATGGGCAGGCCAAAGAAAACGGATCTAAACAAAAATGATCAGACACGACCAAACTATGTTAGTAATCCATTTTGGTTTTAGCGGCCAATTGACCAAGTAACTTCTTTCAATTAATTATTCTTTTTATGTATGGTCTTGGTTGAGACAAAAAAGACTGACGATATATCATGATAGTTCAAGTGGTAGAGCAGCGACGTATTTAGCCAAAGGTTGTGGGTTCAAATCATAAAAAATATATTATTGATTTTTAATCATTTACCTCGATTCTTGACTTTTCTCTGTTGGTTTATTTGATTTTGTATTCTCTTCATGCCCATCTGTTAAAGGATTTTGTTTCTTAAAAAAAGTAATAATAATAATTATAAATTAAATACAATAGATGCATAAAATAAATGCATACTTACTTGCAACTCTCCTGATATTTTCCCTGGGTCTTTCCATTTGCAATCTATTGATTCTTTTTTGTTACTCTGGCATGGAACAACCTAAAAAAATTTAGTTTAAAGTCAAGTTTTATATAATATTAATATATATTATGGTTGTTTTTGTTCAATTCAGTTTGTCAGATGCATTTCGATATTTTGATATCTTCAGTAATGGGTTTTGTCATCTAGCCACAACCTGCTTATACCCTGTCTGGCCATTGAGGATCACAGGAAGCTGAAATGTGCCTGACAGACCAGATCAGCTAGGATAGGTGGTCCCCAAAATGTCACAATATACCATATATGCACTAGATAAATTTATTAATATGCTTTAAACATTATAAATAGAAAGGAATAAACTAAGACCTTTAATATCAGTTGTAAGTTTTTATCGATTACACTTAAAACATGCTGAAATCCTAATCTAACCTGACCAGACTCTGGAACAGAAATATGCGACTGGGCTTCTTCAGCCATTTCATTTTTCTTGGCATTCTTCCCTTTAACAATGTTCTTCCTTCCTTTTTGAGGCTTGTAAACACAGACGTGCTTGTCTGTCTTCTTCACAGTTCTAACCTCGGCCAATTTATCTTCGCATATCTTCTCACACAGCCTGTTGCATGCAAGCTTGATGTTCTAAAAAGTAAATTTTTAAAGATGAAAAAAAACCACAAAAGGTTTTATTGTAAGAATTTGTTTCCTTTTTTTACATTGCAAGTGTCATTAGAGTCAATGTCGATTATATCATAGGTGTGCAAGAGTTCCCACAATTCAGTAACAGCTTCGAAAAAGTCTTTCACCCAAGAAAATGACTTCTTGCTGAAGCAGGATGCAAGCATGTGCTTTTCCAACGCCTATTTCCAAGATTAAATGTCTATGAATAGATCAAAAGATTAAATAAAGGAAATTTGAAATTATTAGTAAGTAAGGAGTCGGTTTTCTGTTAGGATGAACTAAGCTAATATGTAGCAAACATTTTGAATTTTTTTTACAGAATTGATTTTTAACTGAATTAAATAAAACATTTCAATGATGAACCTAGTGGTTGATCATCTCTGATGGCAGCAATGATAGATCAGAGTGATCAAAGACGAACAAATTAAAGATACTTATTTCACCCGACTACCAAACTTTATATTATTCTTACACTAGACTTACTATTAGAGCGTAAAGTACTGTTTGGTAAGCTGCCACAAATTTGTGAGCAATGACATATCTCTTTGTTTTTGCTATGTTGTCATTCCTTGGGATCTTTTTGATCTCATTGATCTACAACATGTATTGTCAGTGAATAGAGTCAAATTTTCTTTTATGAATAAAGGTACCTGGCAAACCAGTTGATAATGGTAGTGTCTTTTGAACCTGGTCATGAAAGCCAATCTTCTTTTCTTCCCCCTTAAGTATTCGATCTCATTGACATCCTTCGGCTTTTCGTTCAGTTTCATCCCGTCCGCAGTCAATACGATTTTGTGGCTTAGATCTTGTAACTTTTTTTCAAAACTTTTACTCTCATGCTTGATTGGGTGTTCCTGCCATAAAAAAACTTTTAAAATAAGGCAAAACTTCAGTAACATTCGGTTAGATAATAGAAAAACCAATTAATTACCGATCGTACAAGCGAATGTTCAGGTTCAGAGACTGAATGAGTTGATTCTGGCCTAATTTTCTCTTTTTCACACTCGGACTCTTCAACCATTTGTGCCACATTCACCTCATTTTCCTAAAATGGAAACATAATTGATAAATAATTGTAAATTTCATAAATAATACACATCAAGAGAGCATACTGAAAAACCAAAACTGTTTTTCTACAACAATTTAAACTCTCATGAGAATATTCATAAATACAACTTAAAAGTTTAATTAAATCGGCTCATGAAAGATATTTGACATTTGGGATTTCAGACCAGGCATTGCCTTTTCAACTACTCACTGCACCACTCACGGGTGTAGCTGGACTTCTTCAGCCACTGAAGAGAAAGACCAAAATGCGAACAAAGATATAAAGAGCAGGGTAAATGAGAATGACCAAAGTATAAGTTCATAACCTCGCAAACCACAACAATGTATCCTACAATCCATTAATACAAAAGAACTGGAGAAAAGAAAAAGAACAAATGGAGAAAAAACTAACTTTTAAAAACTAACAGTTAGTCTAGGTTTTATTATTTATTAATTTATTAATATTAGTAAATTACACAAATAATACACATGTGCAGGAAGACATTTTCTTTAAGCGTGAAAATAGCATACTGAACAACCAAAGTTGTTTTTCTACAATAATTTAAATTTTCATGAAAATATTCATAAAATAAAGTCTGAATCTTTAAGAGTTTAATTAAATTAACCACGTCAAGACAAATATTTGACATTAATAGAAGTCTTACAGAGTGTTGAATCGATTGGGACTTTTGGACCAGTTCCGCCCAGTGTTGCACTGGCATCTGCCTTTCTGGATCAGTCTGCGTTGCCTTTTCAGCTCTGCGCCACTCGCAGGTGTAACTGGACTTCTTGTCCCCGTCGCTGCTGGACTGATTCTTGCGGATGAATCTCTCCCAGTGGTCGGCTTCCCTCTTCCGCTGGCGGTTGCGCCTCACTTGTTTGAAAATTGAATTGAATTCATCAGATGAGATGCACTGGAATAAAATCAATAATTGACTTTCAATATATTAGGTAGAAATTTAAAAAATTTGAAAATATAAAACTGGTATTTAATATCTTTGATATATCAATGGTTTAAATTTACTATTTTAATTAAATAAATGGTCTTAAAAAAGGTATATGGACTCAAAACCCAACTTTCATTTGGGATTTGGCTCAAGCCTTTGTATCAGAAATCCTGTCAAGAAGAGAACCAATTTTGGCCAAAACACGGTCATTTTATAAATGTATGTCCAAAATTGTTCCCGATTCGTTCAGCCTTACAGTTAAAATCTAAAGGGCCGAGATTTATTTTATTTACACATTTTTTTCTTTTTTCAACCGGCTGTCATCGGCTGGAACTTACGCAAAAGCTGAAGTCGTCTGTCGCCATCGCCGAAGTTCCGTCGAGTTGTCGTTTTCCCGCCTGGAATCGGCCAAATTTTGACGAAATCACACAAACACACCGGCGTATTTTTGTTATGCTATTGCATGACGACTTTCTGCTGTTGGGTGCTTACTGCTTGAACGTCTGTTTGTCCTCGTCTCCTAGCAACTGGGCCGGTCATGCTTCGCATGCTGTTCAACCGTCTATGAACACTTGAACGGTCATTTTCATCATTATATTCTTGAAATGTATGATTATTAAATTTAAAAATCTCCATTTTTACCGTCAGACCAATAGCTAGCTAAGACAGCTACGATATAACATTAATTACTTGTAATGTTCTCGTATTTTTATAACGTTATAACAGCTAAAGCTGTTCTCTAAGATATTAGAGAAACTTTTCCTACCTAAAATGTGTACTTCATTTTTGTATCCTAAAGTGTCTGCAAGCAATGAATCCTGTCGTGGGCACCATATTAATAAATTCCTAAAATACTAGGTTAAAATACTTGGTGTACGTTTGATACTGGCTTACTCTAGTAATCAATTTCACAGTCAAATTGCAGTAACATGGAGAAATTTATAAGATATATATATTTCTATATATAATATATTAATATATTCTATATAATATATAGAAATATAAATCCACAGAAGACGGCATTAGTGCAAATTTTCACTGGAAAATACTTAAACCAGGCCCAGAATTTTACAGTACAGACAGTGCAATCAACATGCGATCTTGACTGCCGAACGGACCAAGTCAAATATCTGATTATCTAAATTTTGTCAAGGGAAACACTGAAACTTCTTTTAGATGATCGCCCACTTTGCTTTTCTGAAAAAAGGGTTACTTACTAGCCCTGATTTGCCTAATTTGAGTATATTCTTGTGCTTCAATCCACATAAGAAAAATCCAGATCACACAAAACATAGTTTTTGAGAACAAAATACCAGGGTACATTATGAACTCAGTGCTTCAATAAGACCTAAAATTCCAAAAGTACTTCAAGGATCCTTATTTGGTCATTTACAATCGTCCGAGTCTACCTTTCTACGCTGATTTGTTCTGCAAGATACGTTTTGCCGTCTAAAGTGGTTGGTCAGGGTGAGGCACCCACACAAACACACAACCGAAATATAAAAAGAAAAATAGGTAAAAAGCCGAAACGCATCACATAGACCAAAATCACACCAACACAGCGAGCATAGGCAGGACAAAACGAACGGGAACAACCAAACTACAGGTTCAACACTAGCCCAGACCTAATGAAAAAATCTCACAGTTAAATTCCTAGATAAAAGATTTAACAACACCATCAAGTGCACCAATATCCACTGCTGATCCAAGAATAGTGCTCCAGCAAGACCTTGCCTCAGATTAAAACCAAAGAGGCCCTTGAACTTTCTGGTATATTTACTTATTAGGGTTTATGGTGTTTTTTTCTGTTTTTATGACTAGTTTATTAAATAGGAATTAGTTTGTGTGCCTCTTTCCTTGGTGGAATTTGGTATATTTAATGTCGGTTTCATTTAGTTTTCGTATGTCTTTTGTGGGTTTATCGAATGTGTTTATATTGTAGCCATTGTTATTTTCCTATGTTTCTGATTGTGTTTTTTGCTTCCATTTTCAGTCAGTGTGGCTGGATTAAGACTGCTTGTTGTTGACTGTTTTCGTTAGTTAAAGAGGGTTTATACTATTGACGAAATAACAGACAGCCATTGAAGTGTAGAAAGGCTGAGACTCGATTAGGCAGAGCGTGAAACGACAAACTATAGGATCCCATCAAAGTATATCTTACAAGCTATCTGGTACAACAGACAACTGATGATGGCGAAATACCGAATCGCGACCAACAAATCAGATAGGCTTTGCAGACCAGGATGATTGGGAACGATCAAACTACATGCTTTTTTTTCTTCGTTGGCCCCAGAAAAGTATCTAACAACCCATTGGTGCAACAGACCAAAAAGGCGACTCAGGCCATCATGAATGGAAACGACCAAATACTTCATACAGTAACCGTTCCTAGTAGAAGAATAATGGGAAGAAGTTACAGAAACACTAAGCTTGATAGATTTTAGTATCTATCCCATTAATACAACAGACCAAAAACGTGATTTAGGCCATCTACAGGTTCATCTCACTGCAGACCCTAAAAATGTAGCGTACAAACCATTATTTCAACATATCAACCGCTGAAGATAGCAAAACATTGGACTGGGACCACCTGACCGGACAGAATGTCTAGACCAGGATGATCTTAAACGACAAAACTGGGTGTTCATCAAGTAGTAAAGTATCTTTACGTCCATCGATATCGATGTTCCCATCTTTACTTAGTTGGGATGAATCAGACTGAGAATCTTTAACGGATTCATCCCGAAGGGGTCTCTCATGCGCCCGATACTATCATAGATAATACCAGAAAGTTTTTACCTGCATGAACTTACATTGGACCTACATGCGAGGTGGTACAATGCTAGCCAGGTTCAGAAGTGCTCTAGAAAGATGTGCCTTTAAAAATGGCAGTTTTGGGGTTTCCAGCAAAAGCTTTTATCCTCCCACGAAGGCACTCCCTCTCTGGCTCCGGTAGACCGGTGCTCTCCAGCTAAGATACAAGTTGTTCTCAAACCACGACTACCGCAAGTCCAACATCAATTGAGACCTACTCGGATCGACCCCTCCCGTTGTTCAGTTGTATTTTGACTGGACGCACCGGGAATTCCTAGAACCCTCTACTGTTTGTACCCGTTGCCTGAGAGTTCATTTACCTAGGAAGAATCTAGACCAGGACCATCGTAAACTAGAAAACGGGGGGTTCATGACGTCTAAGGCTAAAGCTAAGTACAGCAGACCAAAACCACGACTAAAGGCCATTTAGGATAGTTAAACCAGGATATGCAAACTTAAAAGCGTATCAAACAATCCATTATTCCAACCGAAGATAGCGAAATGCTGGATTGGAACCAACAGACCAGACCAGGATGATTGGGAACTACCAAATGAACGAAACTAAACCACCCTACATTAACCGTTCCTAGTAGAAGAGTGAAGTTTTTGAGTAAAGAAGTCTACGGAAACACTCATTTTGATAGGTTCTAGTATCGAAAAGTCTATTAGCACAACAGACCACAGACGTGACTCAGGCTATCTAGGATATGGAGGCTACGATGATCGGAAACGTCCAAACTACAGGTTTATCACCTCTCAGACCCTAAAAATCTATCAAACAATCCGGTTTTGTGAATGGAAACAACTAATTTTGACAGGGTTGCAAAAACATACAAAATTTCTTCATAAAATGGAAATTAGTGGTGGGATTTCAATTGACAGGTGGAGGGAATTGTCAATGAGCCGATGTTGTCTATGTCTGCAGTTTTTGACAAGTTATTCGGGATAGTTTCTACGATAAAATTTCCTTGATTAAAAAATTTTATGTTTTATTCAGTTTAAAAACAAAAATACGTCGTTGAAGTATTGTTTATTTTTGTTTAATATAAAAGTGCCCAATTCTCGGACAGAGGTAAATACAAGTCTTATTTATAAGACAGAAAAAGTTAAGCCTCATTAATTGAATTAGTGTTGGAGCGGGATGACCACAAATCCCCCCGGTGGGGATACAAGTTGAAAATCCTTTCGGTAATCATTCTCCTCACCCCTTTCAATAAAACAACTTGAGTTATTTTCCAAAAAGTTTTCCCCGTCATGACATGCGACACCGACTTCGAGAGGATCGTGAGGATCCACTACCTCAAGTACGAGTGGGGCAAGGACTGGGAAGAACTAATTGCGGATATCATGGTGAGATATTTTCGTTATATGATTCTCATCTTTTTCAATGATGTACAACGTAAACAAGAAAATCTTGAAACCGGCCGAAATCCGGGGAGAATCGTTTTGTTTTATTAGACTGTGCAGATCTGAATAAAAATGGACCTTGCTTTTTACGCAAATAATCTCCTTGGTATAGAACTATAAAAATGCATTTGCTTTTTGTAATGTCAAATTATTTCCTAAATCCTTTTTTTGTAAAGATTCTTGCCAAATTTATCTTAAAACAACTTTTTTGGTTTTATTCTTGCCAACTTCAGGTCACCTTAGGTCAAAAACAGTTGGATTAAAAAACCTGACCAATCGATGATCCACGGATTAAAGATTATCAATCTATTGCGTTATATCATCTCTTTCATCTTGGATCAATGGATAAAAATTTTATTTCATTCGAACAACTACTAATCCGAGAGAGTCGGGAAGGATTGACGGTTGAAGAGGGTCTTGCTATCTGCAGGGATTGGATTAAACTTGATCCTCCTTTACTTTGGTTTTGTTCGAAAGACCTTAGGTAGATGGTGCTGCGATTAATTCCAAATGGGCCAATTTAATGAAGCATGTTGCTGTAAAGGCCACAGAATGTCAATAGGCTACAGCTGATGCTTCTTTTTCGTTCTCCAGGCTTAATTAAAACTCAATAACTATTATTCTTTCACTAATTAAAAAAATCATTATCGTGGGAGTCGAGCAATTTTTTAATTGAAAAAATATAAGTACAGTTCTACTGCTTTGTCTTTATTACCTTATTTACGATGTACTTTCGGTCGACAAGAAGAAACTTTTTAGTTTTTATTTATTTGGTTGTAATTAATTCCTTTCCATTCATTATTTTACTTTGTCCTTGATTTAACTAAGTACTAAGTAAAGATGTAATTTGGAATATACGTTTTTACCAAGACATCGAAAAATTCAAGAATGGTTGTCATGCTAAGCAACAGAGCCATTTGGTAGGCCTTTGATCAAGGTTACACTTAGGTACTTTTTTGGGGGGATGGCTATGGCTTTATGTCTAGAGTAGTTCTGTTTGGTAGTCCTGTGTGCCTTGGCATATGTAGTATGTTGCCTTTGCATTTCTCCACTTGAGCCTTTGGTTAAAGTTTAAACCTAGGTACTTAGTTACTTTGGGATCGTAATGACTTAATTTTATAGGGGAGGGCTTTTTTGGCAGTTATATGTGCCTTGCATATATAGTTTGTTGCCTTTGCATTCTCCACCTGAGCCTTTGGTCAAAGATTATACTTAGATATTTAGGTTCTTTGAGGATGGTTATGGCTTTGTAGCTCTTTTTAGGGAGTTCTGTGTACCTTGGCATGTATGTTGGCTTTGCATTTCTCCACTTGAGCTTTTGGTCAAAGGTTATTTCTAGGTACTTGTAACTGATGTGGTGTATA